TACACACGAATCTCGCATGTCTAATCGAAAGTATTTATGAAAAGTTCCTTGAAGAAGGATATTTCGATCGAAATCCGGACTTAATTCCGTTATTTACACTACTTATTTTTGGAATTATGTCGAAAGATTTAAACAAAACTAAGATTTACGAAAAATTGCTTCCTGAAATGTTCGATACAAAGAATGTCAAACAACTTTTATTAGAGAAAATACAAACTATATGCAATCCTTATTACAAAGCGAGAGCGTTGTATCAATTAGCTCAAGTTTATGATATAGAATCATTTGCACTTCTCAACGAATCCTTCAATTTAACCAACAAAATTTCCGACGCATGTCAGAAATTTCAAGTTCTGGAAAAGATTTATAATGTTCTTCATTATAAGGAAGTCAATCGAAATGAATTCAGTGAACGAGTTGTAAGCGAGTTGATACTGACATGTGATTGTATAACGAACCTTCGTGATCGAATTATTGCGTTGATAAGATTATCATTTTATCAATCGGGACCAATGCGAAAACAAAATTTCATCAGTGCGTTAGAAATATTGAATCAAATGGATGAAAATGACGAAAAACTTCAATTAATTATCAAATTGAAACCGTTAGTGGCTCTCTACGATGATCTTCATGTACGACTTGATAGAATCGTTGATTGTTTGGAAAATAATATATCTAAGGATTTGGTTAACTCATTTTACGGTAGAATATTGAGTCTTGAGCAGTTCAAAAGTTCCTCAGAGTATACAGAAATGCAAACGCTATTTCGACTTGTTGCACGACTGAATGATGCAAAATTAATGCTGAATAAAGGTAATACTTCAGATCAACTATGGCTTCGTTTGTACAAAGACGTTAATGATCAATCGATTATTGCAAAGGTATTGGAAATAGGTGTAGAGAAAGAATTGTTTCTAACGCCACAGATTGCGATTATTATTGATGAATTAATCGAAAGGGGAGAAGAAGAGAAGATTTCAATTCTATTTCCATATATCATCAAACCATCGAACGAAGTTTTACCGATTGTTCACCGATGGTTCACTAAACACCCAAAGCAAAAAATTAATGAACTAGCGGTTCTGTTACTGGCAGAGCATCAGCATATTTTCGAATCAGCAATCGATACAACTACTCATTTATTGGAAAATGAAAATGATCAAATAAGATATCGAACTGAACGACTTTTTCAGCATCCAGATCGAAATCCTAGTGTACCAAGTCGGAATGCATCTGTCATTGGAGAGAAGACTTTAATAAAACTTATTCAGGTAATACCAACGAAGGAACATATACCACCTGTTCGAGCTTTTCTCAGCAGTTTCTTCTTCGATCTTTTGTGGGACGATTATCACATCTTTCAATATTTACATGAAAACTTTCGCAAATCCGAAAACCAGCAAACGGTTTTTGCTAATAGGGTTCAATTCGTCACGATAGATTGTTGGAATACAATCATAGAATCAGCGGAATCATCGCAAGATTCATTATATATCGAAAATATTCTCAATTTAACCTTGGATCTAGTGGTAAATCATCAAGTTCTGGCAGACGACTGGGCAAGATTTGCGGACATATTATCAATGACGGATACGAGTCAATTTCGAGATCAGCGATACTTCTCTTCGAACGAAAGAGCAGTTATAAATTTGATGATCAATGAGATTTGTGTTTCGACAAATCTTGACGATGACACATATTTCATAAATCTAGAATCGAAAATTGTCAACGAATTGACAGTAACGGTTGACGAACTTGCTCGAAGTCGTTTCAATCAAGTTGAAGAGATTGGTCGTTGTACTTTTCGCGTTTCAACAAGAAATATTAATGAAATCGTATTAGGAATGTTAAGTGATATACCGATTACAACATCGATGATGGACAATTTACTTCAATGGTTATTACAAAAAATATCGGATTTTCAAGGATTTAATGATTCGATATATTCGTTGATGATCGAGGAAAGTTTATTGGCATTAGTTTCAGTATGTGTGCAAAAAGAAGATTATCTCTATCGAAAAGTCACAAATTCGCCGAAATTCAACAAGATTCTCTTGATTCAACTGTTGCAGAAAATGATTCACCATCATCCGTACTTTTTAGCGAGAGGTAGTGCTTTTGTTCTACTGGCAGCATTGGATTTAACCGATCATAAAGTGATTATCAACTCTTTAAATGTACTGTTCGATGAGAATCTAGTGAAAGACTATTCGACGATTGGAATTCCGTTGATTCATTTGTCACCAAACGACTTTATCGATGATTTATTGAAAATCTTAACGAATGAAAGTGCGATTAAAATTTATGAACTATTGAAAATCATCACACAGTTCGCTTTAGATGAGAAGATCGATGCCGATTGTAAATCAAAGATAATCGATTACGTAGTAAGAGAAATCGGACAAGTACAAGCGAAGAAACCGGTGAATTACTACTACACTGAGATTAGAATTCCATTTACTGCAACATTAGAAAATGAGTTGTACAAAACATGGATTAAAATACAAGGATTCTCAGGTAAAACTCAATATGCTGTCACAATTAATAATTAATGTTAAAATTCGTTTCAATGAGAATGGAAAAGATATTATGTACTTTTTTGTCACTAAAATAACATTCCTTTCCGAATAAACCCGAATTTCACATGAAGAATTATCCGTTCGATCGCACACCTCTTTGACGCTACGATTGATTCAGTCAAGTGTTTTTGACAGATATCATCGATGGATCGACTAAAACTACCGCTCTTCCCCATTTTTGGTCGCATATAGCCATTGGAATGAGTCTCTAGTATACTGTAGAGCTGAACTAATCGAACATACTCGATGCGTAGATCAAATGTATCACAAATGTCATTTTTGTTTTTGGAATCTTCTTTCACTGCGAGTCGATAATGCGTATCATCGATTTCTATTTGCAAAAAAAAACCAATGAAACCATACGTTACGAAACAATGAATATCTAGTTCGTGTTTGATACGTCGTCGGACACTGACTGGTTCATGACGCAAGTTGTTTGAGTAACTTAATCAAATTTCCTAAAGTGACCAACGCATCTCGACATAAATGAAATGAATTAAAATCGGACGATGTTTTCGGTTGAAGTAAAGTTTGATCGGTTAATTCATTTTTCAATTGATTCCGCATCGACTGTAACACATGAATATTTTCACCAATCGACGATTCGATCGAGTTCAGCGTTTCGATTGATGACGCGATCAGTTCTTGAAACGATGCAGTGCACTCAAATCTTACTACAGATAACAAACGGTTGAATTGTTTCACTAACTGAAATACAATCGAATGAACGGAAATTTCATGTTCAAGTCCAACGTACGGTTTGTAACGTTCTTTCGGCTTCTTCGCAAGATACATTTGTCGACGAGACCGATTCGACTTGAGTAATTTCGATGTTTATGTCCGATGCATCGACATTTTCCCTCTTGACAAGCCTCGAACAACAAACTTGAAGCATCTAAAGATGAATTATTTTGAGGGAGAGAAAGATTTCTCAAAGAAGTCTCACTTGAACATTGTTGTACAATTGAGAGAACGAATTGAAAACCGTAACAAACAATGGAAGTTGATAAAAATTGTCTCGATTTTCATGAAAGAGTGACTTGGTCGATTCGAACGTTTGACAAATGTTATTTAATTGATTGAGATGAGTCGAGAGCTGGTCTGATCGTTGAAAACTTTGTTGTAGCGGGATAATTATTCCGAAAACATAACCATAAATAACGCAGATCTTTTCGTAGATCTGTTGGTGTATTCGATTCGAACAGTCTTGATCGACCAGCTGACGAGCTTTTTGCATCAATTCGTTTATCGAGTCGTTGAACGAATATTCTAAATGCATAGAAGATCATTTCACATGAAAATATTTGAAGCTGTGATTACCAATCGATAATCTAGAAGAAATCCATAAGCACACATGGTGATATTCAATTGATTTCTTACTTATATGGTTCTTCATGTGAACGAGATTCTTCTTCATTCGGCGGGATGTCATTTGTAGTTGTTGTTGTCGTCGTAGATGGTGGTGGTGGTAAATCATCATCTATTGAAACAAATAAACTGTAGAAGGCTGAATGAGAGTGATTTCTTACCTTCGTGAGTACATAAATAAACAACAATGTTGTTTCCATGCAATCCATTTCGATTAATGTATTCACGGAATGTTCTGTATTGAGATGCATTGATTCGTTGTCTTTGAAAATCGTATAGATAGGTTTGATTCTGCTTGTGACCTATAAAAAAATACAGGAATAGTCTCATTCAATGTAATCATCTTACGTAGGTTATAAACCTTGAGAAGCTCTTGATGAACATCGTGAAAATTCATTTGCCCATGCCGCCATTGACAAAGCCGAGTGCCGCCACCACATTTCAGATCCACTGTTTTGATCGTACCATTGCTGTTCAGAACAAGACGACCACAACGAAATTTCTTTCTCGGTTGATATTTTCTCGGACGGTTAGGCATGGTTTTCTTTCGTTTCTTTGTCTGATGAAAATGTGCTAGCTTATCTAAAACCCTTTTCTTCTTTATTCGATTTAACAGAACGAAAGAATACGTCATTCTGAAGCCAATGATAAAACTCCTTTAGATACACTATTCATCTATAATTACGAATTATAGAAAATGTTGGGAACGACAAAATAACAATGCATTTTCTCGCCATGTTTAGTGTAATATTTCTAACGCCAATAACCATAATGGTTACACATATATCAACAAATTTGTCATTTGTTTGTATCATTACGTGTGTATCATCTGTTTCTTGTGGGAAACAAAGATTATAGTGCAAGAAATCACTTCGGTCAATCACGTGATAGATCTTTCATACTTATACAAATCAGTTTGTTCTTACGAAAACAAACTTTTTTTCGTTAATTTAGGTATGAATGTTTATCTAACTACAACTTTACTGTTTTCTTTTTACTTGTGGTATTTGTCATTTGCTTTTTCTTTCCATTTTCAAATACCGCATAGTATCAATGGAGTCTCTCGACCAACTTACACAATCCTTCGATGCAATAATTACAAAATATGATGAAAAGAGCAATTCATTCACAGATTTATCTTCGTTAAAGGATTTCTTACAATTGATTTCTCACTCCAATGAAAAACATCTGTACGAGTCCGATTTGCTTCATCATCGTCTATTTGTTATTCTTCGCGATTGGTATTTGAAACTTCTACGTCAGTGGCGACTGAACACACTATCAAACAATGAACAAGTGTCTTTTATTTTCGAAACAATACCCAATCTGTTCATTAAAATGTCCAATCACATATCCGAAAAGAATCTGTCAACTCTAAGAGAACTAATCTTTCATCAGCCATTAATCAATGAATTAAATATTTGTTTAGAAGAAATAGCATCAAGCGGAAAATATCTCCAAGATTCTCAAATCAAATCTCTTGATAACATCTTTCGAGCCATTCAACGATTAGAACGACACAGATCCGATACGAAGGTAGACGCTTGTCTCACAAAGTTATTTGACAATATTGTGAAATGTATTTGTTCACCATCATTCATCGACATGTTTATTCACTCTACTACACAAGAGAATGACGGACCCGGACAAAAATTTCTCTTACACACATGTACGGATTATATTTATTCACATCCAACTGATCAACAACATAAACAAAGTTTAATTGATATTCGTCGATCACTTTTACAACCATTTTCACAATGGTTAGTGCAGCAGTCTTCATCGTATCAACTATGGAATCTACGAATGACAGTCATCTTACGTCAACTATGTTTCATTCTTACTCTTAGTCTTCAACTGAATCGATCAATAGACCTCGATAAAGATACATTCGATCAATATTGCCGATTGATCGATTCATTTCTAAATATTCTCCAATCAATTATACAAACGGAAAACTTGATCAATAATAAAATAGCTTTATCTTTGATGGGAACACTGACACCAAATCTTTATACAATGACGTTATCAGGTCAACTGGAAAAGTACATTAAAAACAAACATATGACATCATTAGTTTTAAAATTAGCCGATATCGAGAACGATGAAATTCAGTTGAATGCATTTCGAATTCTTTCGATAATCATCACTGAACAAGATGCAAACAATACTTCAAATGCCATGAATATTGCAGATCTATTCATGAAATTTCTTAGTAAAGTAATCGATGATCAGAATCAAATGTTAAAGTTTTACAATTTACTTCGTTGTCTGAAACGTGAGTCTTCTTACACATAGAGCTCCATTGAATCTTTCTCCTCACATAGATTTAATTCAATACGATCCAATCAAAGATGAACTCGTCAAACAGAATGGTATTCCATTACTTGTCCGTTGTGCTACGGATATTAAATTCAAACCTCTCCAAGTGCAACAACCTGCTTTGGAGATTCTTCTGTCATTAACGTTCAACGAACATGCATATCGTCAATTGAAACAAAATCTCCCTCAAATCAAACCGTTAATATCATCGCCGCATCAAGTTGTTAGCCGAGTTGTGGATGGTCTTCTATGGAGATTAGAAACTCAAGAGAAGCGACTTGTTAGTAAAGGCAATACTTGGAAATATGATGTGATGATTTCATATTCTCATTCGGATAAAGAATTGACTTATCGAATTTATGATCTGTTGATCAAAGATGACGTGCGGGTTTGGATGGATCGTGATGAGACGTTTGGCACAACGATGATTACGAAGGCGGATGCTATTGATCAATCAAACTATATTCTCATTTGTGTTTCTGATGAATACAAAGAGAATTTGTATTGCCGATGTGAAGCGACTTATGCGGCTGATCGTCACTGTCAAATAATTCCATTGATTTTAACATTAAATGCTCATCCCGATGGATGGTTATCGGATGTTATTCGTCGTAAAAGTTATATCGATTTCGTCGTCTTAGATTTTGATTTAGCTTACAAAACATTAAGAAGTGAACTGTGTTCGGTAGAAATTCATCTATCGAAAAACGACATACGATCTGTTCGAGTGAAAACGTAATGTCTTCAATTTATTTTTCATTCTTACAAATTTTTCTTCATTATAGTGAATATCCAGAAACGATTGAGCAATGGACAAATGAAAATGTAAGAGAATTTTTGCAAGAATATCAATTTGATTGTTTATTACCAGTTATCTCACCGATGAATGGATGTCTTCTAAATGATTTGTTTACAATGTGCCGACAAAACCGTGAATCAATGTTTCATACAATAAAAAATGAAATTTTAGCGCTGAATAAACATGCACAACCATTGACACTCTATACTTATCTACGTTTTTTGAATGAGATTCAGAAATACGTCACAAAAGCTGTTTATTACTAGTTTCCAATCGATCAAATTCGTTCCCGCATTTTTTCTTCTTGCTAAAATAAATAGATTTTTTACAAAATCCAGAAGCTTAGATTGATACGAAACAAACTTCGCATGTTGTTTTGAAAGATCACACTTACTAGTGGATAGCATAAAAAGTGCATATGTACTTTTTACCTTCAATATAAGGTCGTGCAGTAGGTCGCCGTATGTCAAAAAAAACCAGTGACTTTCACAGTGTTTCTCTGTTTTATTCATTGCTGTTATTCTAGTACAATGCCTCTTCTACTGTGCGGTTCCTGGTAAAAATGTGATAACAAGATATGGTGTGAAGGATTCGATGTGGACACTGGATTATCGTACAGGCGCTGACTATGCTTGCCCCATTAATACGAAAGTTGTTGCAACCAGAGATGGCGTAGTTAACGATTTAACTTAGGACACAGGATTAGGTATTCATGTTATCAGTGAATCAAAAGATGCCAACGACAAGCCAATTCGACATGTTTAAGTACATCTGAGTAAGAAACTAATAAAAAATGATCAAGAAATAGTTAAAAGTGGTAATACAGGACAATTGACTGGACTTCATGTTCACTACGCCGAACGTGTATCACCGTTTACTTATGCCTTAGTCATATAATGCTTTTTTTCTGCTACTCCATTTTACTTCAATGATGACAACACTAAATCTTCAGATCGTTCATAAGATTGTAGAACTTTCATTCCCTCTCAGTCATCTGTTGCGTATAAAAGTTCTTCAATTCACTACTCCTGCATTTACAGTTAAAAAAAATAAAGTCGAATATTAGAGTTGATCAATAGCACGAAGTCAATGCGATTTATTCGAGATTAATGAGTAAAAGGATCGTGATTTTGTAAACGGAAAGAAGTGAAGGATATTATGTTAGAATCTTATTTTTCTTAGCACGATTTGTTCTCTTTTTTTACTTGTTCTTCCTGAAAGAATCAAACATTCCTAATATGCATAAATTTCAATTCGAAACAAACGTACGTCTTGTGGTGTGAAATCATTCTTGATATTGAATTGACGACGAATTTCTTCTGGTCCGCTGCCTTTGATCGTGTTTGCAACTGTTTTACAGGTAACGTCGAGGAGACCTTTGATATCTAAGTAATTGGCCGCCAAGATCAACTCGAAGAGCGTGCCTTGGTCAACTTTAAGGAAATCTTGATCCCATGGTGATATATCCGAAAGATTCTTTTCCCGATTCTCATCGTCTTCTGTTAGAAGTGGATCATCCTTGTGATGTGTTAACCATTGAAGAATCTTTAGTGTAAACAGTAAGAGCGGAAAATAATGAAATCCTATCACTGTTTACTTTTTTCAAAATTGCAGAATTAACATTTGGTAATGGAATCACATCATCTTCTACACCCGAATTGTAATCTAATTATGAAATGCCATTCACTTGTGATTAAGTTCTACATTTGCCTACTCACTTTTAAGTACTTCTGATTGTTGGAGAACTTGAGGGTTAACCTCAAAGATATCGCCCTCATTGGATTGTAATTTGATCATATTTGAATCCATCGAAGAAGCCATGTTTCACTCGAGTATAAAATCGAAATATAAAAATATATGTATAGGTATATTTATACTAATTCATCATTTAAGATCATTCGTAAAAAGTGCGATATGGAAATAAATGAGTGACTATGGCATCAGTAGTTCACGGAAAAACGAGATATCGCCCGTAATGGCTGGAAAAAACCTACAAAGCACAGCAAGGAAGAAGAAAAATGCTTCTTCCTGTGTGCATAAGAAAAAAGGTTCTTTTTAAGGTGAAGACCGTTATATTTCCATTCGTTCTCTTTTTCTTCCTACGTTTTCTGGAAACGGCAATCTACGGGAACTGCTTACTGTGTGTTCTAGCATGAACACAAATTCAGATCTTTTTTCTAACATTCAGACTAATACAATTAAAATGATGCCCCATCCAAGCGAGACTTTTCTGTTAACATTTGCTTTCGAAGTAGACGTTTACTCTGGAGAAGATGAGTGACAACATCCTCGCCTCACGCTATATCAGAGTTGATCATTACTATAAAATCAATACGCTTTATTCGAGATTAATGACTAGAAGAATCAAACATTTCTAATATCGAAATATTTCAATTTGGGAGAAACTCGTACTTCTTGTGGTGTGAAATCATTCTTGATATTAAATTCGCGACGGATCTCCTCTATATTCTTGCCTCTCAGCATATGTGCAACGATTTTACATGTGACATTGAGTAAACCTGTGATGTTTAAGTAGTTGATAGCCGTAATTAATCCAAAAAGTGTGCCTTGGTCAACTTTGAGAAACCTTTGATCCCATAACGATATTTCCGGAACATTTCTCTGGCAGTCTACATCGACTTCTGTTTTAGGTAGATCATCTTTGCGATGAGTTATTCATTGGATCACATTGATTTAAAATGGTAAAGATGGAAACTGTTGTGTCACGTCAGTATTTACTTTTTTCGAAATTGCTGAATTAACATTGTCTTATGAGACATAGGACCACCTTTACCCATGCCGAAGTCTAATAAAAAAAACAATATTAATTTGAACATCGAGTTCATTAAACCAAAAATGTACCTTCCAACTTTTCTTTAATCAACTGTGATTGTTTGGCGACCTCTTCATCAATATCGTACGTATCACTATCATTCGATTTTAATTTGATTGTACGTGTAGCCATATGCGAAGTAATATTTAATTTGAATATCTAATTCAAAGATAAAAATACGTCTCTATGTATTCATATACCTACAACGAATGACTGTCACCTTATATGAAAGGGAAAATACACTCTAATACCTATTAACCGATAATATTTTTGGTAGTGCTTGGAAATTATTTACTATACGAAACTGAAGAGCAAAATCAGCTTCCAGACGCCTGCACACTTGATTGCTTCATAATCCAATATACATAACCAAAAACTGTTTCTTTTGTCTAACAAACAAGAGTTGCTTACGCTTCGTAATTCATTCTCTCTAAATTATAATATAGTGCCAAGTATTGAACTGAGAAATGCTTCCCTGTACGTGACCAATCTACCTCACAATAGCGTGACAGAAGCAAACGACTTACTTGATTATCACGTAAGATAGATGAATGTCATAAAGTTCGTGTGTTGCAGTTTCTAATTGATCAATTCAATACTTGGGCACTACAACTATGATCTTTGGAATTAACACTTTCATTTAGTATCATATCTATGAAGAACTTCAAGTCATGACTATTCAGACCTCGCTTTCTTTGATTCCACGTTTTCTTGTCACATTCTTTCATTACGCGTGTGCTTTAGGAAGAACTAATCTTAAAGAATTTCTATTGAACTAAATCCTATTTACAAACTTGTACGCTCGCATAGTGTAGAAAATCAATGGGACAGTCAGCGATGAGACTAGTTCATCAATTTCACGTTCAAAGATTGTGTCAAGAAAGTCGTCGATGAGAATTCTGTGTTATCACAAAAGTTAGTGCAATTTATTTTAGTAAGAAAGAAATCAATATAGTAGTATCAACAGAAAGAACGCGTTTATTTTTCTTCACACCATTCGTTCTCTTTTTTGATTTGTTCTTCCTAAAAGAAAAAAAATTCTAATATGCAAAAACTTCCGTTCGAAAGAAACGTACTTCTTGTGGTGTAAAATCATTCTTGATATTGAATTGACGACGAATTTCTTCTGGTGTTCTGCCTTTGATCATGTTTGCAACTGTTTTACAGGTAACGTCGAGGAGACCTTTGATATCTAAGTAATTGGCCGCCAAGATCAACTCGAAGAGGGTGCCTTGGTCAACTTTGAGGAAATCTTGATCCCATGATGATATATCCGAAAGATTCTTTTCCCGATTCTCATCGTCTTCTGGTGGAGGTGGATCATCCTTGTGATGTGTTGCCCATTGAATAACCTGAAATTCATCAATGCAAATGAAAACTATTCATTTGTATCCTTGTCATTGTTTACTTTTTTCAAAATTGCAGAATTAACATTTGGTAATGGAATCACATCGTCTTCTTCACTCATACCGAGATCTAGCAATAATCAAATAGTAGAAATGAGCTAAGTGAAATGGATCTGTACCTTCTAACATCGTTTTGATTGTTACAGATTGTTTGGCAATTTCGACATCAACATCGAATGTATCACCATCATTCGATTGCAATTTAACTTTGTTTCCAGCCATAATGTTTACAAACTATCACTCGAAAATCTTATCTGAAAGCAATAAAGACGACAAATTATATAAATGCGTCGACTCTTCTTAATAATGTTTCGCGTGAAAACAAAAACGTCACCGGATATAAGTTAACCACGTCAACAAATGAATCACTGCTCGACAGTCATTTCAGCGAATGATGCAATCTCGAAGTATGTGAATTAAGCATACCAAGAAAGGAAAAAAAACACTCCTCGACGCTACTCCAAGCAACGCGTGCACAGAGAAGAAGCTATCAACTGCACGTGGTTGTGAATTTACGTCTGTTCGCTTCAACTGACGAAGTCCCATTTTTCTTACCGAAGGGAAAAAAGTTACTTTTCATCTTAGATGAAGAAGGAAAAAATCATTTTATCTGACGTAAAAGGAAAATAATAAATTAAGACCATTTATACAATCGAAGCTGATTGTCAGCTAATAAACACAAGTATTGACGTGCTAAACATGAATCGATAATATCACATTGGGTTGAAAGTTTATACAAAGGTATTTTCTCTGTTTGTCGAATGTTCCATATTTCAATCTGAATAAGAGCGATACTCTGAAAGATTTTTCTTGTTGAAAGAATAACTTACACCATGCGCTCGATTGTCTGATGCGACGACGTAAGTTTCGGCATTGTGATGAAGAATTTTCGATCTTGAAAGAATAATATTCACACTTGAACCAACAAATGTTTGAATAAGTTGTAAAGAGATTTGAAATGATTGGTGAGATGTCGTTATTATTTCATACAATTCGTGACGTGCTGGATTGGATTGTGGACGAAAGGAAGCAAGCAAACGATTTGTTGCAACGTCATAATGAAGACTGGAGAGATTCTCTAAAAATTCAGACAACTTGAACAGTTTTGTTCTCGGAAGAAATACTTACTATCAATAGGTAATTCATGAAAATGATATTCACAATTAGATATATATTCATAAAAGCCACTTTTATCGTTGCTACCAACAAGTAATCCATTTGCATGGAAATGTGAACTTTTTTGTATGTATTGAAGACAAAGAATAGGCGATGTAGTGGAAAAATCTAATGTTTCGATGCTTGATGAAAGTATCGTTTCATTCTGTTGAGTTTGTCGTCGATCGAATACCTGCACACGACCTGTATTCAACCCAGCAAAGACTAGATTGGGATCGTCAAGATTCCATGCACAACTCCATACTTGTGAAGAACATTCACATCTGGGGCAATCAATTATTCTAGCACTATGATAAAACAAAACATAACTCACAGAAGATCAGTGGTATTCTGTATATAGTTGTAGATACGAAGTGTTTTATCCCATGCACAAGAGAGTAGAAGGGTATCATATAGTTGAATATCACGAATGGGCTTTGTATGATTTAAGGAAATATATTCGATTGAACGAATTCCGTCAATAAGACTGATCTAGTGACAAAATTTAATGAATTAGTGGACAATTTCTAGATCATACTTTTCTGACGCCGTAATCCGCATTTGAGGCGTGGTTGTTACTTGATGGCTGACTACTTATGAACAGCAAGTGAGATGAAGATGCATAAGCAAGAACGCGACACATTCCCTGAAAAAAAAAGACGAGATAATTCACGTTGGACAAAAAACTGCAAAAGTACTTCAGGAGTTTTGATCGTTGCTTCTAATTGTAAACTAATTGTAAGAATTGGATTTGATATGGCGGCGATCGGTACTGATTGAACCGATTCATTGGTCATCTTTTTTGTATCGTTCAACTGTTGATTTAATCTGAAGAAGACGAGAACATGATTCGAAGACTCTGTCGAAAGGCCTACTCTAATAGACGATCGTGTTCTTGTTGTAAGTGTAGACAATGCTGTTGGAGTGACTCGTAAGCTATTTGTAATTCTGCTTTTTCGTGTTCGAGGTTCCGTTTTGCTCTTCGTTCAAAATCACGTTCTTTAATCGCGTTATCTCTCTCACTTGTATCAAGAGCTTTTATCGATCGACAAAATATCCACCGTAAATCCTTTCGTCTTACTCTCGATTGACATTGAGGACACGTTTGAGATGTTCGAAGCCATTGTTCAATGCAACTAAATGTAACATTTCAATCGCACAATAAATCAGATATTAATTTACATTTTTCCAAACAAATGTCCACAATAAGTCGATACTAATCGATGTGCTCCAGAATTAGTCCAAGGTTCGAGACATATTGGACAACCTTCATCTTCGTTTTCCTTGGTAGATAATGATCGACGACGGGGAGTCCTATTCGACGCTTGTGATGCATTCATGTCAGTGGCTGCTAAATTATTAATTGTAATAATACGTTCTTTGCATGAAATGACTTACCCATTGTTAGACATTCACCAATAAAACCACTTGATTTCTTTCTTTTCATTAGTAAATATCTCGCTTTGTACTTGCACTTGTAACATGATTGTGTATAAACGTATACCATTCAGTTTCTTTGCAAGAGAGAGGGCGGTGATTATCAGAGTGTATCAATACGTCTAATCAGATTTTCGATGCGACATACAGTTCGAATTTAGCACGAATTTTCCGCAGTATTTCGATAGATTTCAATATAATCTTCTCACAATACTTTCGCAGCACGACAGGAATCTTTCATATAGTTCCACAAATCGACATCGTGGGATTAGCGCTTATAGTTAACATAACTGAACCTTTCATATTCGAATCGGATGATTAAACGTTCATCCTTTCTCGTACTTATCAGACTGTTTCCATAAGTAACTCTTCCATAGTCTTTGTCTTCAAATTATACTCGCCTAGCTTAACTAACACATCATGTATATAAATGAATCGACGTGTGTAATCTGACGAGAGGATATTCGCTTGAAGAATGTCTTTTCTATTCAAAAGAAATCGCTATTTCAATTCAAGTAGTGGTAAGCTTGCTTCTCAGATTTTCATTTAGAAATTCTTGTAAGGAAAATGATGATACTAGCGACATCTATACAAAATCATTGAGAAAAATATTCATTTATTCTAACTTTTCCATTTTGTTTTTGTGACATTTTTTTCGTTGTATTTTATCATTTACGTGTCGGAACATTTCAACCAAGTTTCAGGTTGAATTTAACAACTGGTAAATATCAGCAAAAGTCCAAACAAATGTGTTGTTTATGAAAGGTAGTTTTTTTTATCGTTTCTTACTAATGGTTAGACATATGTTCATGAAATGATTTATCAAAAGATAATGTTTAATTTGCTCTTTTCAGATTAAATTATTTATATTTGTGGACGGCCTTTTTTTGTAACCTTTTACATGGAACAAACACTGAATGACTAATTATTCTTCGTCGAGCGATCTCATTACTAGTATACATCAAGAAGTAATTAATTTCTACGACTGTTTTATTAATTAAATATTTGTTTCTTTTTTAAGGATGAAAATATTGATTTAGAACCACTTCTCCCATCGTCTGATCCATCAGTAAGTAATTGTAAAGACATGTTTGCTTTTCGTGCGAATGAGAAGAGAGCTATCGATCTATTTCCTATGTAATTTTCCTGTTAGTCAAATGCGACATATTTGTTGCGTGAACAGCGCCAACAAGATTCACAATCATTTTATTCTATGTTCATCTCGAGAATGAAACGATTCCGTAAGTGTTGCAACTTTGCTCTTTATTTTCTCAATAGCTAAAACTCCTTTTTTTTCGTTTTTCTACATAACTAACGTGTGTGTACATGCATAGTTTTTCTTGCACACCTTACCAGAATAATTTCTTGAAGAAAACATGTAATAATGAAGTTTTTCTTCGAATTAGATTGTGCAATGAGTTTACGATCGTCACGAACGTGTTGCTTTGAAACATTGAAGAGTATTCCAGTTGTCTTCATTTTGGCCATTGTAGCATGGTCTTATTATGCCTACGTTGTACAAATGTGTATTTGTAAGTAATGAAATCACATCGTTGAGAAGATTGTATGATTTTAATAAAATTCCTTCGACACTTTAGTAACTATTGATAGTGTGCCGAAAAAAAGTACGTCGAAAACGATATTCCGGACATCTTTCATGTTTGCCCGTTTTTAGTCATCTATCTGTTACTGTATCATCCATTACTATTTCTTTTCCTTTGGTCATACTATCGGACAATGTTTAAACCTTTAGCTGGTCCACCTAGTGAAGTAGATGAAAACCGAACGTTTGTTAGTTTCTATTGTATTCGATTTTCAGTTTTATGTTGGCGAGGCTGAAGGTGAACGTATTGCAACAGCTCAAACCCTAGATGAGCGACGTGCGACTTTACTTCGTCTTTGCCGTCGAGCGAATCTACCTGTACTTACCCGACATTTCGATGGGAGTAAGTAGTGTATCGACTGAGGCATCACCTAGTGAGCTGATCGACATTGCAGGTATACGGTACTGTTTTACATGTCAATGTATAAAACCCGACCGAGCGCATCATTGCTCAGTATGTGGCAAGTGTGTTCTCAAATATGATCATCATTGCCCATGGTACGAAGTACTATCTGTTTTTATATGAACTATTCGACATCATCCATTTGTCTTTAGGACAAACAGCTGTATTTCTTATGCGAATTACAAATTTTTTGTGTTATTTCTTGGTTGGGCTCTGATGTTCTGTGGTTACGTTGCTGCGACGTCATTGGAATATTTTATTCTCTTTTGGCAGGTAAATTAAAAATCCATTCGTTCGCTTTCTTCTCATTGCTAACCGCTTAACTACTTGATTCTTTTGTTTTTTTTTAAATCGATACAGGGTGTGACTAATATTCAGAAAGTATGCTCAATCAAATTAAAACCGAAAAAATAAGCAATGCCTACACTTTTTTAGGACATACCGAACGCAAAATCAACAGGTGGAAAATTTCATTTACTTTTCCTTTTCTTCGCATCAGTGATGTTTGCTATCAGTGTATCGTCGCTATTCTTCTACCATCTATATTTAACCGCAAAAAATCGTACGACACTTGGTAAGGAGATTTGTTTGTCATCGCCATATTTTCGTTGAGGTTGATGATCGATTTAGAATCATTCCGAGCACCGATATTCGCAGATGGACCACAGAAAGAAGGATTTAATCTCGGTTGTAAACAAAACTTCCAAGAAATCTTCGGCAACGATCTCTTGAAAGCATTTATTCCCATTTCGACAACGTAAGTATTCAACACTTGTGTTTCATCAAAACACTTCATTTTTCGTTATTGGATAGACGTGGTGATGGTGTTCATTATCAAGTAAATAGCACCTTACTTGGCGGTTTACGACAACAACAGGAACAAACGAGCCACGCAAGGTATATTGCAGAAAAAGACTAAAGGATTGACATGCGTTTCTCGTTCTAGTACTGATGTTCTTTTACCACTTGATACACCGCCAAATTCCATGAATAATGATCGCAATTATCTTTTGAGTGAAACTAGTAACAATAGATAGACTCGAAGGAATTGCACACGATTTTTTTCCTATCTTTCCATTTGAATGTTTGTTTATATGATTGAATCTGTTCTTATAGCCTAATCGATCGAATCTTTTCCTTCGTCACTTTCTCTTGTTATGTTTGCTTTCTTTGTCTATTTATCTCTTTGATTTAACGTTCGTTTCACCAGAAAAAGAAAGAAGAAATTTGTGAATTTTAAAGTCAATATTTTTTTTTTCTCCATTGTTCAAGTTCGAATTCTTTCTAGATAAAAGAATCCAATCTCCTTCCAATGGCCAGTAACAAAGGCAAAAAAGGCGAAAACAGCGGTAACAAAAAACAAATTACCAATGAAGTTGTTACCCGCGAGTATACTGTCAACCTTCATAAACGATTACATGGCGTGTAAGTTTTATTCGATTGTTCTTTAATCTTCCAATTGCCTGTTTTCTCATAATGGATAGTGCATTCAAAAAACGTGCGCCACGCGCAGTAAAAGAATTGAAAAAATTCGCCGAAAAAATGATGAAAACATCCGATGTTCGTATCGATTCGAAATTGAACAAGGAAATTTGGTCACAAGGAATCAAGTAAAGAACCGCTCATATGTAATTCCAGTCTATTCGAACGATTCTCTTTTAGTCATGTCCCATATCGTGTTCGAGTGCGTTTAGCTCGTCAACGTAATGAAGATGAGGATTCACCAAACAAACTCTATACATTGGTTACATTTGTTCGAGTACCTTCGTTCAAAGGTATGTCTTCGTTTTTCTTCCAGAAAGACTCACTAGAGCATTTGTTTTATTAATTTAGGATTACTCACGGCTAATGTAGACAATGAATAAAGTTATACAAAACAATCAATGAGAACATAGAAGAACGTTACCATTCTTTACCGTTGTTTTGTTAAATAAAATTAAAAGAAGAACGAATTTGAAGAATAGTTCTTTTCTTCATCAAAATCTGAGATAGTTTGTAAACATAGGACGGAGAACTTCACAACAGGCAATGCCTATCAGGATTAATTTAGAAGAATCTCATGTGGAATTGTTATTGTTATTAGTTGTAATTATTCATTTTTGCACATCATGATATAATTATTTGACAGGATAGTCACACGAAAGAAACGAGAGCTCATGAAGAAAGCTTAAATATCTAGATGAGACTTTTACAGTACAATGAATCGATGGAGAAGATCCTAGATGTGTTCAGATGTGGATTAACATAAAACTAAACTTAACATTTTTGAGTGTCAGAACCATGATCGTATCCTAGGTACATCGAGAGCTCGTAGTAATGATTTTCGCTAGTACACTGTTGTCTGATTTTGAAATATGGTAACTCTGAATGACGCCGCATACTCTGCGGCTGCGGAAGATGTGTGTTCCAAGCAAAAACTATATACATGATAACGAAATTCTGTACGTAGAACAAACAACGAAAAAAAAACATTTTATTACAATCGGTTGGGCACCTTTGGACGGTTAGCGACAAGGTAGACACATACGCACACATTTTCACGAACAAAATACTGTACAAAAGCAAACTATATGAAGTGTATGATTGAGTATGCTCTCATATTCAAATGTCTATTTACATGTCAATAGTTTCCTAATTTCGTCATGAATTTTGACGATGGCATCGAATGTCAGCTTGAATTTAGTCATTAAAAAACGAACGTCCGCTTGATGCGGTTTACGTATGTACCATTCTCGTAATAATTGATAAGCGCATTCATGGTTTCCATCGGCAAGAAAATATTTTTCATGAATATCGAGTAAATCAACTTCAGAGAAGCAGGGGGCTAGTTCACGACCAATAGTCTTCCATTGACAACGAATAGGCTCGGCAAGACGATGAATAAGTTTCGTATCACTTAATTTCAACTAATCAAAGAGAAATAAAAGCATTTCATTGACAAAGATAAAAATCTTACGTTGCATTGATCACTAATTATTAGGCAGGATTCGTCAGATGAAAGAATACATCCACAAGTTTCGGTATGAGCATCTTTCTGAAAGAAATCAAACGAGTTCCTTTATCTCTATTGACGTTATAGATCAGATATCGCACTTGAGGAAATGAAGCTGGGACGATTTGATACTCTGACGATAAGCTAAGATTGAGTTCGTATATAGGCGATTCGTTGTTATACGACCCATTGGATGGATCCAATGATTCAAGAAATAATTTACCAATTACACCAGGACCAATTTGATTATTCTAATAGAATATATCGAAATAAATTAAAGTAGATTTTCATAACTAAATACTTTTAATTGCAGGGCAAATTGCTTGTCAAAACTATGATTGGAATGTTCTTTCTTTACTATTTCTAATTTTGTTAAAGATGGATCTTCATGCACATCCGTATCAGCAGTAAATAATGATGAAACAAGACGAACTCGCACTACTCCTATGAAATTCCAATGACAAATCGATTCTCATAAAATAAGATATTCTACCTGGCTTGATCACTTTGCCCAATCGACTTCTTGCTAACAAAATCGATTGATTATCACTGATGATCTCATTTGTAGAGTTAACAATCACATCCAAAGTACATTTACACGTTGTTGGATATAGTTTTAAATAAACTTGACAATGATATTCTTTTCTCCGATCTTTCTTTTTGAGTATCTTCTTTGTATATTGTATTGAACACTGTTTAATTCTCTTTCTTGAAAAGAAATCGTCTTCGTCACCATCAGGATAAAGTCGCTTTAAACCTTGATGATATGCAGCCATCGTAAGCAAGGCAAACCAAGTACATGCCAACAAATCTGAAATGAAAATAAAAAAATAATTCAAGTACTTTATCATCACTCTTTCTATATGTCTAATCATGATGACAAAATGCCACTTAAGTCTTATCTTGTCCTATTCTTCTCGTTTGTGTTCGATGATATCTTTATCTTTTATGATGATGTGATTAACTGTTTCAAATAAAACGCGTTTCTCCTCGAATTCTGCACTCACCTGTTACACATCAATCGTCCAAACATGAAATGCTGTTAGTAAGACATTTTGTTAGTTCGAAAAAAATGTAATGTAAGATGATGATGAAAACAAAAGAAAACGCCTTTTTCTCTTCCGTCTGCTGTACGTGTGTTCTCTTATTGAAGTCAGGCAACGAATTTATCTTTGACAACAACAACTATTCTTATTTTTATGCACACATGTGTATGCAAATTCTATTCTCTTCCACTTCAGAGCATGTCAGAGAAAAGATAAAAAAAATCAACTAACTAGAAGTACCCGATCAGTGAAACTATGTCAGTTCATTAAATTGTTTTAACAGTAGATTTATATCACAGAGAAATCAATGATACAAACCTGACTCTATTGATTTAGTCTGTAATGTCACATGAAAGTGAATAATGACTATTTGTTTCCCGTCAGACATCGAGCGTGCATTTTTGTTCTAATGTCTTTATCATACCTCTCATTACACATTCAAAAGAGAAGAAAAAATTGAGTGTCTATATCTTTACTCGCTACGTTCTTTTCTCTTTGTATGTTTTCTAAGATAATTATCATCTTCAAACTTCGCTTGCTGTCTCGCATTTCTTGTGTCAATACCGAAGGGTTCAATTTTTAACTTTTTTTTTTCCTTTCTCTTTATATGTGTTTGATAGAAAAGCGACAATGTGAAGAACAAAGCAAAACCGGAACGCATATGAACGTGTGCGAGTTAAAGGAAAAGAAAAGCGGTAGACAAGATGATGAGATAAAGACGTCATAGTTTACGCTCGAACAGCTCATTTGTTCTCTTCCGTTGCAAGACTTTTGCTTTTCATTTTCTTTGCTCTATGACGTTCTTTCTTCTTTTTTTTCAGATAAAATAATTGTACTTCACTAAGCCTTATTGAAAGAACAGAATAGAATGGAATCGACACAGGAAAAAGAAAAAGTGTTACTCTAGGGACAGGAAACATAGGTAACACTTCACTACTAAACTTTGATAGAATGTACATAGCTGTTTGTTCAAGAAAAGTGCATGACAAATCTATACCAGTCCTTAAGTTATCAGGAGTTGTGTTGTATAGAAATTGAATTCTACCGAATCATGTAGCAATTTTGAAAATGAAGATCGTTGAAGACACGAACAATGCTAGGATCAGATTTGGAATCGACCTAGTGATAAATTTAGCCCTCTAAAAAACCAGGAATTTAAAATAAAAGTAAAATCTTGTTTTTCTAATAGCAAATATCACATTCTATCAGTGAAAACAAGTAACGTTTGCCATTTCGACTGGAGAAGAGGTTCATTTTTTGTCGGTGTAAAAGTAGCACCAAAGAAGAAAAACCTAGAGACGTAATTTGATTCTGCATCGAACGAATACTATCCTCATTCAAAATTCTGTGTGTTGAATGATTTTCTCGAAATATAGCAACAATCATATTTTGTCAACATATGTAATATTCATTACATTGGAGAAATCTCTGAGTCTTTTCGTTTTTTGTAGAGTAACGAGTAGCTGATGAAACAGAAGCCTGATGGGGAACTTTCTATTGATAAGACAGCTAGAAGAATATCAATAGAAGTCCAACGCATTTGTCGATCGGATATTTCTCCGATAGTACCTTTCTCAGAAATACTTATCACTAAGATGATGGTAAGTGCCGACGCTACGATATACCAAAAAACCTTCAGTCTTACGATCACTCTCACCCGTTGAAATAAATAGAAGTGACGTATTATTTAGTGAGTCATAGTATAATTATGAAAAATCGCAATATTTCGACAGAAAAAATTGTTTTTGATAACGTTCATTAGTACAATTCAGCAGTATTGAGAGAGACAGAACCAGTAAATCCTCCAGCAACCAAAACTCGCCCATTCAATAGTGTGGTTGCTGAATGTCCTCCTCGTATGGAATTCATGCTTGGAATTAACGTCCGTGTGTTCGCCGTTGGATCGTATATCTCAGCGCTTTTAATATAACCACCACTATTTCTGCCGCCAGAAACTAATATATTTTTACTTGGTAGGATGGATACCGCGTGCCGAGTTCGCCGAACATTCATACTTTGTTTCGTTGACCATGTATTTGTTGAAGGATCATACAGGTTAACATCATTGAGAAAGTTACTACTATCTTGCCCACCGACAACCAGTATTGTTCCATCCGATAACGTGACTGCCACATGTTCGAATCGTGCGCTTGGCAGGCTTGCTTTGATTGACCATGTATTTGCTGCTGGATCATACAGCTCAACGCTATCGAGATTACCACTGTTACCTACTCCACCTATAATGAGTATTTGTCCATTTGATAATGTTGATGCAGCATGACTCGATCGCGCCATATTCATATTTGCTCTTGGGGTCCAAGTATTTGCCCATGGATTATACACTTCAACAATATTGAGATAGTCACTGCTGCCTCGTCCACCAGTAATTAACACCGTTGCATCTAGTAGTAACGATCCTGTGTGAAGCCATCGTGGAATACTAATAGGAGCTTTTGATGTCCAAGTGCCTGTTCCTGGATTATACGATTCAGTAAGACTGGCAAAACCTGAACTAGATCCACTAATAATCAACAAAGTTCCATCGAATAATAAGACCGCTGTATGTGAATCGCGTGCGATACTCATGCTTCCTGTTGTTATCCATCCTAAATAAATGTAAACAGTAAGAAAAAGGTTTCTTTCTAAAAGTGTGACGGCCGGTATAACATAAGTCATTCAAAAACAGACCTAGAACTGTAATTCGAGTATGATTCATAGCATACATGAGCTAATTGCAAGCTTACTGAGTGCTTCGGATTTTGGGGTGTGAGATCGCAGTATCTCTGGTTCTACGTATAGCTAATCTTTGTGATTTTTCCGCATGGGTTCCACTTAGATGTCCTCAATTAGCTCTAAGAGAACGACTAAATACAGCTCAAAATGCATTCTCTGTTACCATCTTTCGAGTAAAACGCTATAAGACCACGTTGTTGATTGACTTTTATTTTAATAGCCGATGACATTCACAGCATACAGTGCACGTATCTTCCATATAAAGCTCATTCTTTCTAACGACGTGCTTTTTAATCTGTTTTTTCTCGAAATACTATGTACAAACAATTCTCAATTTTCTCGTGCGTAAAATCGAAATCCGTTCTGAAACACAACCGTTCATCAAAAGGAGTAGCTGCCTAATTCGACTTATAATATAAGTGATGAATTCCTAATACACTCCAAATCTGATCTAGATATAGATAGGAATATATTTAGTTGTAAATATACCCCCACATCCATATGGCTTAAGGAATAGACACCAAATAGCTTTAATTATGCATGTACGCTCACAATCATGTAGGTTTAGGAATAGATTTAGTTTTAATCACATCCTCACTCTCAGCTATAGTGATTCTCTGATACTCATGCCACAGTTTAGGAATAGATTGAGGGTGAGGGTTTTGACTATAACTAAAACTATTCCTATACTTTCAAAGCTATAAGTGCCTATTTATATTCGAATTGATATTAGTCTGTTGGATGTCCATTTATAATATAAGTCGAATTAAGCAACTCATGAGCTTTGCATTGGTGCATATTGGCTTTGCCGAAAATTACAAGTTTGTTCGACAACGAGAACCGCAAGGTGCACATTGATCAAGCTACGCTATTTACAGCGCATGTCAAAATAGGTAAAAAGCATCACTGTATGGCGTTCATAAGCGATTATATGGATCATAATTCAACATTTGTTTACGCGGCTCAACGGAGAATTGTTGAATTTCTAAAAGAAAACTATTCGCGCGTGAAAAAAATAAACTACGTCAGGTATATGTGAGTTTTCTATTTATCATCGCTATCAGACTTCGTTTGCTTTTAGTGACGGTGCTGTTAGTCATTTTAAGAATAATAATACAATCAAGAATCTGATTTATCACAAAAAGGATTTCGGCCTGCAGACAGCCTGGACATTTTCTGCAGCAGGCCATGGCAAAAGTCAGTGCGACGGAATCGGTGCAATGGTAAAAGCAACGGCAACACGCGCTGCTCTACAAGGTAGCTCAGGTGCTAATATTCAAACAGCTCTCGACTTTTGGAATTTTACTTTTGATGCAAATGATCGATCTGAACTTAATGAGCCCAGTCCTATTGAAAGTTATTTTATACCAACAGAACGTGTTGATAAGTTATTCAAAGAAAAATTAGAAAAACGATGGAAAGACGATGCTAACAGCAAGTTTCTTAATCAAGAGTTAACGAAAATACTAAACCTTCCATTTTAGTAAAATTGACTGGCATCCGAAAATATCATCAATTCAATTCTCTGCCGGGTGGAAGGCTATCCTGTAGAACGGTATCCACATCATCGAAAGAGTTTTATTTCCGTTTTAAATCATAGTGTCTTTTATTAAACAGTTCTTTTAACCTACAGATAAAACGATCGTGTTTTGTTTCTTCGAAAGTTTTACGATTTCTCAGTGAAAAGTCATTGGAGAATATTAACCGTAAGATGATTAGATGTCACTAACGTAAGACCATCAGTTTCCAATCTAACGACTGTTTTGAGCAATCTCTCAATTTTTTATCGCTTGCCATTTTCATATATCGAAATGCCCCGAGAAACTAAATATGTCATCTTGTAGAGCAAGTTCTGCTCTATCTTTTCCTATATGTCCGGTATTCTACGAATTCCAAAAAGTGCGGTTTTCTTTTACAAAAATGTGCATGACTTTGTAGTGTTTTTAGATGCTATACGAGAAGATTTATGAGTTTGCATTTTTCTCAGGAGTATCCTGAGATCTGAAACAATATTACTTCAAATACTACAAACAAAACTGGGCTATTGAGAGCACTTAAGCATTGGAAAATGTATGAAAAATTATAGCTGAGAAAAAAGTTTGCGAAAACTTGATAGCAAGAGATATACGAGGTTTTGCACGAAAAGTCGACCTTTCTAAGATATAGATGCTGCAATATTTTCTGAAATCTAAATTGGCGAAAATGATCGCCTCACCGAGTTCTACAAACCCTGAAATGCTCACGTTGTTAGGAGATACTTTTGTATAACATGGTAGGAACCCCATGGAAACACCCACGGAGACTAAATGTGCACAAATATCTTGATTAAAAGTAAAATTATTTGTACTTAGATGATGATACGTTGCATACTTTCAGTCCATTCGATTTATATGAGTGTACTTTGACTAAGTATTGTTAACCCCTTGCAAAAAGGCGGTATATATATACATACCATTTCAGATACATCTCAAAACCTAGCAACACTACAGACACAAGATCAGTTTGGAGTGACTTCTGATAGCCAAAATCCACTTCTCTTCAATGATCATCATCTCGTGCGAGTTTTCAATTACCGATACGTGCAGAGAACTTAAAGACAGGTACTCAAATCAAACGAAATCTACGTTCTCTTACAGTGTAATGTTAAGGGATGCTACGAATATATCATATCTCAGCGCACAGGCTATGATGTTGAATAATGCATAGCTAACTGATTTCAGTTTTGTCATCATTCGAAAAATAGATCTTAGAGCAAGGGTACAATAGCTGCCTATCATTAGACACCAAATGTACCAGTCCGAATCTGATTGAGAAAATTTGTCAAGCTGGTTATCCTCCGCTTTTTTACGGCCTCCAATTTGCTATCGTTTCAAGCAGTGTACAGATTTTACATGTAAGCAAGCCATAAACGAAAAACCCTGTTATCAGAGTAATATACAAACAAGTTCGAGAGTATGCTCCACTGCTTTTTCCCCGATAAAATGTTACAACAAATACTTCCCTGATATTTTCCTGTAGATCAACACTGAGAGTGAATGGAGCTGATCATAATCGACCAAATAGTTTCTTCTCAGACTACGCTGATCGAGGGAAATGATTAGTCTAACATCGCGATTTGGTGCGCTACTTTTTGACCATTCTCTCCTCACTGTGCCATTTCAGTCACTTCATTCTACATTGTTTCTTTCCAATGCACCACAGAATTCATAGATAACGGATACATACTATCCTCTCCAAAAACAAACTACAAACAAACATAAAAATCCATTATCAAGCTCTCAATACATTTAGGCTTTCGAATCAAGCATAAAACAGCTAGATAATAATGAAACATCGCTCCCATTCAATGTACCACGGTCTGATTACCTTCCCTTTGCCAGAACTGACATGTAACATGCATAGGTGCTGTACTCCTGTCGATTCAATTCTGCCGTATCTCCAATATACTCGAGCACTCTGCAGCAATCTTATCTTGTCAATCACACACTTTCAGAAACAAATTCCAATCCAAGAGAACCCCTCATAAACGCACCCTACCATGGCACCTCTTCCATCAAACACTCCTCTGTTACACCTTTCTAACTAAACCATTCACTTCCACTATTACACACATATTTTCCCACCACGAAAAGCATTCTCGTTCAGGTCACATCAACTTCTCGGAACACAATCCATTTTTAATTCATTCACTTTCTCTCAATGTCACCCAAATCACACACCGAACAGGGTTACCAACTGTTCAGGTCTCGAATGGGGTATCAGAGAGAAGAAATGGGGTGCACGAGAGGTACAGCTTTCGTTCAAATAGGGTACACACGTGAGGTACAAAATTTCTTCAAAAATATATTAGATCTATCTGAAGAAGAAGTTCACAAAAAGAGTTATTATTACCGGAAAACCATTTTCTCTTCTCTCTCTGCACGATATGTTGTGAGATGCTTGTTTTCAGACGAAAAAAGGTCATATAAACAAAATCGAAAAGCACAATAGTTTTTCGATTTTCTTCAAACCAGTTAAAATAGCGGCATGTAAATTTCTCAAATGTATGGAGTTTAATCGATTTATGATCGACTGTGACTTCTAGGACGTCGTGAGAAATGTTTATCAAGAAGACTAGTCAATGACAAACGATGCTGCTTTATTCATAGTTCACTCATCAGATGATGGAATTCCCGTATTGTCGCAACTACGATAATAGTGCCAGAAAACCACGGTTTCGTTTTTAATTGTTTTGCTTTAATCAACAATCAATAGTACTTTCACTGTCAAAACCGTACACCGTTCACGATCTTGTAGTGAAAATCAATGAAAGTCATCAGCTTTAGCAACATATATATTTATAGTTTTATAATTAGTCTAATTACTGACTTGCAGAAGAATCATCGACTCTTTTTTAACTGCTGAGAGAGAATAGTTTAATACGGTCAGTTTGTTTAACTAAAGCGACATGATCGGTTAATTGTTACCACCTTGTTGAAAGAGTTCCAGAAAATTGTCGATCCTGGAAATAACTCGCGAAATCATCTCTTTAAGAATTCAACCAAATTCCACGATAAATTTGTGAACTGTTAGGCGATTTTGACGACGTGGTTTTACATTTCTCTTCTCCGCGAAATTCAGGATAGAAGTTGTAGCAAAAAATCTGTTCTAGTTTTTAATAAAAAGATGCTGTACGTATTGTTTATAAGAGTGTATAGAAGAATGTCGAAATGGGGTACAAAATGCGTACCCCAAAGGTACAAATTTTCTTGGGGTGCAAAATAGCGAAATGGGGTGCTGTACCCCCAAATGGGGTACAGTTGGTAACCCTGACACCGAATGATATCCACGAAGTACTCAAACGAAAAACATCGTTTCTACGAAAAGAGCCACCAGATCAACTATCACTTGTTCTCCCATTCCATTCAGCGCAAGATCTACACCATATTGACGCTCTAAGAATTAGATAAATGAGATATTCCAAATTTTGTTCCAGCAAAGCATCAGTCTTACTACATTTCTACGCAACGCATCCGCAATGAGTTGCGCTCCTTCATCACCGATTTCGTTCCAATCGAGGCTTAGTGTGGTGAGTATCTATAAGCGTGATAGAGACTGAGTTCTTCACCTTCCGTGAAATGAGATCAATATTACCGTGTTCGTTCGCATCGAATCCGCAATGTGTTCTGCTCCTTTCTCACCGATTCCGTTCCAATAGAGGCTTAGTGTAGTGAGTGTCTGCAGGAGTGATAGAGACTGAGTTCTTCACCTTCCATGAAAAGGGATCAATATTACCGTGTTCGTTCGCAACGCATCCGCAAGGTGTTGTGCTCCTTCAGCACCGATACTGTTGCTATGGAGGTTTAGTGTGGTGAGTGTCTGCAGGTGTGATAGAGACTGAGTTCTTCACCTTCTGTGAAATGAGATCAATATTACCGTGTTCGTTCGCAACGCATCCGCAATGTGTTCTGCTCCTTCAGCACCGATTCTGTTGCCATTTAGGTATAGTGTGGTGAGTGTCTGTAAGTGTGATAGAGATTGAGTTCTTCACCTTCTGTGAAATGAGATCAATATTACCGTGTTCGTTCGCAACGCATCCGCAAGGTGTTGTGCTCCTTCAGCACCGATTCCGTTCCAACTGAGGTCTAGTGTGGTGAGTGTCTGCAGGTGTGATAGAGACTGAGTTCTTCACCTTCCATGAAATCAGAACAATATTACCGTGTTCGTTCGCAACGCATCCGCAAGGTGTTGTGCTCCTTCAGCACCGATTCTGTTTGAATTGAGGTTTAGTGTGGTGAGTGTCTACATGAAAGCAATATATTATGAGCAGGACAAGTAGCAAAGAGAACCTTTGATGACTCTGTTGAATGTATATGTGTGAAATGAAATAGTGATGCTTGGGGATGATTTTTAGGGAGCGGTTGGGTCTAGATGTTAGTTTTTTTGTGTGGATGATGATGTTAGTTGTGGCGCAGGAAAGACTGCGTTCAGAGAAGATGTGCTGTGTTGGCAATATGGAGAGAAGATTACCATGAGCTGATCGATTGGAAACAGTAAGATATAATTATTAATAGTTATGGAATGTAGCGAGATATCTCTTTTGAGGGCGGCCTCCAATGAAATTGACATCCTACTCTTGTGATATGTGGGAGTTGGATTAGGTGTGGATCATAGTGAGAATGAATATAGACGTAGGTCCAGAAATTGTGGATGTTAGTTTGCTGCATTTGAAAAGTGTCATCAAAAGTGATAGTTGATGCACTTCTGGATCCAATAGTTCAACAGACATATCAGAAAGGCGAGATAGTGGAGGAATGCTTGATTTTATATGAATTCGCACTGTGATTGTCCTATTCGATCAAATTGTTCGTGGATTATGAGATTACTCTACCTCTTCCTATGAGGAAATTTACGGCATGAAATATCATTAGGTTTATGTGTAGCACAGCCGACGAGAGTGTTAAGTTGGCAAGTGAACTTACTCGATATCGCTCATAGGTGTTCAGGATCTTGTTGAGCCGTCGGGAAATATTTTGCATTGAACAAAATAGCGTCTGCTCATTTTGATGATCCATAATTCGATAAACAAGTTCGACGGGTAATGTGGAAAATGTGTGCATGTCGTATTTCAAATGTGCAGCAGACCGTACCGTAGAGACGTGAAGCGATGAAAACTGTTTGACTTTGTTCGTTATGAATAGTAACTCATGGTGGTGATGTATTTATATATATTTTTGACGAAAACAAATGACGTGTAATCATTTCAACAGTTACGAATTGTTGGCGTGCGCAGAAAGATGGCGTTAGAATACACATGCTCATTGAATTCTGTTTTGACATTTAAAATAGAAGTTTTAAGAATTAAAAGTAGGAAATCTTTTATGCCTTTGACTCCTTTGCAAGCCGATTCGATTTTCTTCAAAAGAAATTGACACCTCTAAATTAATCTTTTTAGCTAAAAAGTATAGTGGAAGATAATAAACTCTACAGCGTATACATTATAGATTTATTTTGATTATGTAAATTTTGTTTTCAAGAACGCTAAATACTAACCAGTCAGTTTTCACTGATTGATTTGCACTATTTGACTTTTTTCAGTAAAAAAAACACATGACTGTATAAGTTTCACGATATAGTTTGCTGAGAGCTTCATGCAGCATCTCTCAGTGTGTTCGTTTCATTCTTCCCAAGTCTTATTCGATGATAGATAAAAGAAAGAAGAAAAAATGATCGTTTGTCAACCTGAAAAACTAGTCACATGATCTTTTATTTCTTTTTGAAGTCACAAAATATAAAATTGAGCTATATGGTTTACCGCAGGGGTGACGTTAACTTGAACACTAAAAGTTAAGTTAAATTGCCACTCCTAACATATATATCTGTTTTTTGTGTTGAAGAGTGAGTTAGAACACTCAGCAGCATCTTTTACATAAATAGAATGCCAACTCCCTCACTGAGGTGCTCTAACAATTTGTTGTGAATTCATTTTGATGAATTAATTACCCCATGTCTTTTTAGTAAATAAGAAAACGTGGAAAAACTTCGAAAACAAGGCGTTTAGCTTATTGGAAAAGCTAAGCCGCTTTTCAATATGCCCAACAGATGGCTTTAAAGACAGTCATCAAATCTACAAGAACGCTGTAATATCTTACTTTAAAACACTCGTAGTTCTGTTAACAGGTAACTACCGATTAGTTTCTTACAATACAATAACCATGTCATACATATGCGAGCATTTACAACGAAGAGCAAAAATAGTACCCGATTTATTATTTGGCTGTGGAGGATAGTGTTTTATGTAATGTGTGGTATATGTTATATCGATCCATTGTATTTTATTCTGTGCTTTCTGCAATAAATTATGAAACGAATGGAACTACATGGCTCTAGTGCTTCAGCATCGTTTTTTTTTTACTGAAATACATATTGCTCATATAATTTATCTGAAGATCTATTTTATTGCTTAATTGATGCGCATTCATATTCTCTCTTATTAGAATTATTTTCCACGATTTGGTTCCGCTGATAACAACAAGTAACGCTCGTCATTAGACTCGCTCAGCTCTTTGTCGTAGAAATCTTGATTTCAGATGTCATAGTTTTAATGCATTATTGAGTGTATGTGACAACAGCTACGTTACTTCAGAGTTCGTTTATGAAGATCAATAATTAACTATTAGATCACAAGAGACTGACGAGAATATTTCATTTACCATACTTATACACTTGACTATATCCGATATCATATGGTTATACATGTTTTTTTCTTAGAATGGGTACCCTTTGTTTCAAATTTTTTTTTTGTAACTCTCAAAAAAACCCTTTGGTCAATTTTTAGAAAAGAAATTTTTATAAAAAATTCGAAGAACGAACATCCGATTCGACGTCTCCGCAATGAAGTACCTCTGAAAATATCTTTCTCGAAAAATCGATTTTCGATGTTTTTTTTACCCTGCGGACATACAAGCAAGCAAGTAGACAATTTATGTTTGTAAGACTCTTCTCTACGAGAAGGAGAATATACGCTCTAACCCTTTCTTTCGGAAAAGGGAATATAGGTTGATGGTACCATCAGATTGCCGATTACTGTTATATTGTCAGCATACATATGATAACATGTTTCCTGTTGATATCCCAAAATATTGACGGAGCCGCGTTCAATAAATAGTGATGGAGATTCAAGTGTACGAGAAATACTCTTCGTAATATCATAACTGCGGCGTATACGTTTAGAACCAAATCTTTTCATATCAATGTCCGCCGAATTAGTTGGATAGGCTTCAAGTCGAATATTAATAATACTAAGTACATCACTGGAAATAAATATGTTCTCCTAAAATAAGAAGAATTAGAAAAATTTAAATATACATCTTCAACGAAGTTAAGGCCTAGATCTTATAGAGAAATAGCCGTGGAAAATAGATCGTAAGAACTTCCTTTGCAATAAAATCGATTGAAGTCATGCAAAATATCTTGGACACCGATTCGACTTTTTCTTGAGCCGATTTGTTCAATATGTGTTCTAACCGAGCTTAAACTGGTTCCGGTCATAAAACTTTTCACCCTCACCCATACCCTTTCGGTATGATTTTTGGAAGACTATATCAGAGGTTGTCAGATGTATCTATGTCCTCTCCTCCACTAGCGTTTGGAATCTCTATAGCTGAGATATTTTAGTATTTCGTGAACAATATGGTCAATGGAAGTTATCGGCAATGACATCTTTCATGAATATGGTTCGAGGAATTATGCCGTTTGTCACAATTCTAACTGTGAAGGGAATTCTAACTATTACATTTGTTAGCTATGATCCCGTCATTTCTTTAAGCATCATCGAAAGTTTTCGTGATGAGACAATGCAGAGACTACATCAAATGATTGCAAGCTGACAATATCAAGCGTATTTTATTCTGACGAACGAAAATATAAACGTCTTCGTAGAATAATGCGATAACGAGTGAGCGACTTGTTGAATTGTTTCTTATAAAATTTCGATGGTAATACGAATATAACGAAAGTTAACATCGGAGGAATAAGTGATATGAAATACCCGACGAGAAATACCCACATATCATCGATGGATTCCATGCATCGCGATACGTAGGAAATGATCAAACGTGGGAGTGCGAGAACAATTAATGCAATTGGAGCAATTAGTAGATGCTGATGTTGATGAATTTGTTCTCGAAAAAGATGGAGAAAGCGTTTACGAGTTTGCGTACTGGCCTGTAGATAGGACTTTTTGATGATCAGAATGGCAACAGAAACAAAGTTTATCACAAATGGTACGAAAAAATTGCATGTATTCATAAAATGATCAAATGTTTGCAGTCTCGATGGGTAAGTAGTAATACACCAAATGCGTTTCTCGCCACTTTCATTGTCTTCCTCGTCAATTAAACGTCGATGTATAGGATCATGTATCGTTGTACCAATATTAAATATCAAAAGAATGATAATAATTATCTTAGCGGTTTGTGTACTTTTATGTTTAATAAAACGAACACCCTGTATTGCAGTCACTGCCCGCTCACAGGCCACACATGCAGCAAGCCATTGATCCATATTGAGACAAATGCGAAGAACAAAATCCAGAGTTATGCATTGAATTTGCAAGAACGACCGATTGGATATTGAATTGACCTGCGCAAGGTAAAGTATGAAGAATTTACATCCTAGCACAGATATTAGGAGTAAAGTCGTAATCGAAGAACACAAGAGATACAAACCACAACCAACCTCACGTACAGCTTTGCTTTGGAATGTGATTAACGAAAGAATACCGTCGATAAATCCGATGATAGTGAACATGATGATCAGAATTAAACTCAATTGGACACTAGTTGATTGCTGCAGAATGCTGACGTCTGGTCGAATATGATATCCTATAATGGCATCTAATGACAAACCAAACCCACGTGCACTGAATTGACATCGATATCCGTAGAAACAGGATGGACAGATGCAAGTTGAATGCCGTGGACAACCTTGAAATTCTTGAAAACAACGACCTTCGTTTTCACAAACGCTTTCACCAGCACAATCAAATTTCATTTGATAATCGAATTCGAAACAATTGGCCAAACGTTTATCGTTATAATCGTAGCACAGACAAAAATGAACATCATCGTAAAAACACGATCGTTCTGATTGGCATGCCAGGTGATAAGATTTGATCCGACGGAGTAGATGCCATTGACTGAAGCTTTTATTGAATATTTCACTGACATGTGGACAATAATTTGATGAATTGATCATTCGAGTTAACATTGTCGATTGTCGGTAGTTGCTTTGAACAAGAGCTAGATAGTAAAGTTTCTCTGGAAAAAATTCAATGAAAACGATATGAAATGGTTGCGACCAACGAATAGAAATTGAATCTCGTTGAGAGTGAATTATTTTCGAAGTAGTTGCTGTCACCGGTGTGTTATTCTTGATAATTTCGATGAAATGTATAAGTATCGATTTCGTTAACACAATATTTTCAGCAAATGACAAAACAAATTGACTATCTTCGGTCTCACAACGCTCGCCGCTAAAACCTTGCTTGCAGATGCATCGAAACTTTCGATCCGACATCATATAGTCATCTGTAGGGACGCACTGGCCTTGATGTTGGCACATGGAATTCTTCTCGGTCGTTTGACATACGGTGTTAATAAGACATCGAGGACCAAATTTATTCACGTCGCAAACACATATTGATTGATTGTGAGCCGATGTACCGATACACATGGTTCCCGATTACTTTTGAAAGTGGTGGGGGCTAAATTTTGCCAGAAAGTCTTTCTGTCAATATTTGATAATAATAACGATAGGCTCTTATTTCAAATGATAATATCTAAGTGAAGCTTCATTTAAAAAAAAAGAAAAACTACAAATGAATACGTCAATGGCAATATGAAAACTAATGTGTAACAGAAAGTAAAAAGAAAGTTCATAAACGACTCAAANGAAATGTATCGTTCCGAAAATAACAAACTGTGTTATTGATATGAATTTTGAATGCTTTTTGAAAATAACGATCATAACGAGAATTATTGTAGCATATGTATGGGTATCGAAAGTCTTGTGATTGATTTTTAATAAAAGCAAAGTAGATATGACTAAATAGGACTGGGACAGCAGGAAAGAAAACCAAATTAGAACATTCGTCGTTTATAATTTCAATACAGTCGTCAAGTAGACAAAATCGTGAACAGTACGTGTAATTAAGAAGTTCGAAATCAATTCTACACTTAAGTGCATTCCAACAGGAATCAGATATAGAATTGCCTTGAACGGAAAAGATTGATTTGAGAACATTGCTTTGGCGAGACCTACAATCACTTGTTAGAGCGTTCTGTTGACATCGGATATCTTCACAATCAAATGACGGTTCATGCAACATACATAGTTTTTGTCTGAACACATCGTAATAACTGTCAAATTCATCAAGACATTCGACAACATTAATGTTATCTTGAACAAATATTCGAGGAACACACTGACCATTTGGACATTGAAATTCCGTATCTTTACATTGATTCATTTCTAATTGCCAACAATGTTCTTCATCGATTTCACTGTCAATGCAGTCAACTTGTCTATTACAAATTTCAGTCCAATCCAAACAAATCGGGTAAGGACCGCGATTACATTGTAAATGTTCGTAGCAGGTCACACTGTCCGTTGGGAAAAGATATCGTTTATAAATATCATAAATAATCTCGTGTAATGATGAATAGTTCGAGTTGAAATCATAGAATTCATATTGGCACATAGGGCCAAACCTGGGAAGTGTACAATTATAGAAAGTTTTTTCTCTTAATGTTGTTGATTTGTATAATTGATTTAAGTACAATTGATAATTTTCGACGGTGTCAATTGGTGCTGACCAGAGATACAACTGATCGCTTGTTATATTTTGTTTTGCTAGATCAACAAAACTAAATTTCGAAGAGGAATCATCGTTTATCACGTGGACTTTTTCGGACAACTCGTCCATACAGTATGAGATCATTTGATAATAAAACTCCTTGTTATCAACAGTGGCAAGAACGCGTAAGCAATTGTGTTTCACTGTAATTTTATTGTTTTCTTCAATACTACTTACCGAATCTGTATGATAAAGATTGATTTGAGGTGTAGCAGCAGTCAAATGTACGAACATTGCACATATACATAACCCTATGTGTGTCATTTTTTGAATGGAAAGCTAAACTGCTCACAATACGCTACGTAAAAATGGAAATGTAGGAGATATTAAATCTATGTTTAAATGCATGACAAAATATAAAATAAAATTGTTAGTTCCTGCTTTATATAGTTACTGACGTAAATCCCATTTTAACGACAAAAAAAATCATAAACCAGGTGCGTTGTCATTATAGAATGGAAATAGTTCAGCGAAATAAGGGTAATAACAATTGTTCTTGTGACGTAGGAGAATTTATTAATACCGTAGAAATTTCGTGCAAATTGAAGCATATTGTGAAACACAAACGTAATCGTACAACCGCTAGATAGCGACATCAGGTCAGAAAAAAAGATTGTATGAGATTATAGAACACTATGTGCCAATGGATATTTTTTCTCTCAATTGTTTTCATTAGACGCTCCATCATAAAAACAATAATCATGCTTTTATTCACATGTTGTACTTCAACTAGTTAAGAACATTTCTACAATGAATATCGACCATAAAATCATTCAAAACTTGACCTCGTTGTTTGTCAATAGTAGTGAATCTGCAGAAACTCAAGTGTATGTACTGGCAGTAGGTACTATAAAGCGTGATTTAGAACGTGCATCAACATCCATTCAAAGTCAAACTGTACACAAACGTATACTTGATAAAAACATTGAAATTATTGATGGTGTCGAATATCTACGGATTTTACTTGATCATCATATCAAGCATGAGGTTTTGCTTCATGACGCCTTTTCCAGGACGCAGGAATGGGGATCTATACATACGTTCTACGTCAAAGTAATAGGTTCACACACTGTTGCTTATGGTGCAGCGGCTCTACTTGGTCAGATACTTCAACAATATGCTATTGGAATCTATCATCCTATCACCGACGAAGATCGCCAAATGGTAAATTCAAAGCAAGATGAAAAATTATCAGAAACTCTACATCAGTATTTTGCAGTACATTCAGATAGTGTTCTTTCGGACGATAAAATTCTGACGATAACCAAACGAGTTTGCGAACGGTTTCCACAATTGTCTGGACAGCTCGATTTCCTGGGACAATCAATTGAGTTCCATGATTTTCATTCATCATTCAAAGGTACAGGTGCACAAATAGAAGAGATTCTACAAGACAATTTTCAAGAGATCTTTCAAGTTAAAAGACAATTGTCGAAAAGTACTGTTTTGACAAAATACGATTACCAAGAAGCAATCAACGCACTGAGTGCTTCTTAAGAACGTGCGAACTTTACACTTTTCAACGTTTTTTATTTTCGATACAAGAACTACACACTTCGACTACTGTTTAGAATTAGTCCACAGTAGTTCCTATTTGAATGTATACCATGTTATCTTTTCTTTCGTCATTTTCATAAAGAAAGAAATAAGGAATTAACAGTAACACTTTCATTTAACACGAATAAAAGTAGGTAAATTCATCTAGATAATGACGCAGTTCTCAGAGCATGTCTTTATCGTAACAAAGCTTGTTTGAATTTTTTATATTCAAATAAGTCTGGATGATGTGTATCGATGACATACATATTTGTAGGCAGAATTTCATTCCCATTCAAATTTTTTCTAATATTCTTTTTAACTTCGGATTCTTCTATTTTTCGACGTTTCCAACTCTCACAATCTATTTTCGCTTTACTACGAACGAGGAAAACCGGAACGTTCCAATCTGTGGTTTCTTTAACGATGTTATGTTCGGCTTCTGTAAGTCTTCCGGCTGCCAGTATAAAATCAGGAATGCCACGAAGTAAGTTGTTGGGTAATGACTTTTCCGCACCACTATTACTCGTCATTACTGTCTGATTTTGAGAATTGTTCAAACTAAATTTTGTTCGATTCTCACGCTTTTCATGTGTTTTGCTATGCGAACGTGAATATGATCCCATCCATATACCTGTGCAGCCGTAACATGCTCTTCATTCTAAAAATGAACGTACCTATTGTGATATAAATCGGTAGTAATATCTACATACAGCGGTGAAGTTCGTTTAATGTGCATCTTATTCCATATTACACGAGCCCAATGTTCTTGGCCACCGAGTGAAATTGCATAATATTCGCTTCCTTGAAACAGAGTCGAGATATATTCAAATATATTACTATTTTTAACTGAACCAAAAATAGTTTCGAACAGATTACGTCAGTGACAGACGAATCTGCAGCAAGAACAAGCATTTAGAAGTCGTTTCCTGCTACAGAAAACTATTTGACTCGTTCAGTCATCATTGTCAACATAGTTTTCTTCAATGAATGTCTAAAATTAATCAATCTCGCTCTCATCGATCACTTACGCCTAACCAACTCTATGGGTACCCTCAATATATAATCCATTTTTTATTTTCATTTGAAGCAAAAATATGAGTTGACTTTCAATCTGCCCAAGAGGTTCACAGACAATGATCGGACGAAAATAGATCGAAACAAGTTCTCTTCGTGCTCGATGGATGTCCGTAGAGACATATAAGGAGCATTTGATTAATTATTGTCACTATTGGCATACAGAATAGCACTGACTATTCGTTTTTTATTCGAAATGAAGTGAAGCTTAATATGATTGTTTATATTGAAAATGAGTTTAAATCAAGCTTGTGTGGTAGGTGATTGATTGTTAAAATACTCATTACAACGATTCATTGATTCCATTAGCTATTTCTCAATAGTGTCCTATGTACATTGGTGAAATAGATTGATTCTGGTTTTTTTATATTCTTTGGCAATTATTTCTGATTTAACCAAAGACGAATTTTCATGTTCATCGTTGCAAGCGGTGAATAATAATGAAACAGGACGAACTTATAATTTATAAACGAGTAATCTACGATTCAAAAATTGTATTGTATCAAAAACGTCCTATAAAATGAATATAAAAAAAGAGGCAGCAAGATATCCAGCACGCTCAATTCAATTCCTGATTGATAAAAGCTGCACAAAAAAAATAACGAGAAAATGATTTTAGAATAGATCTATGATGCGTTTAAAAATGTTACGTGTTTCTGTCGGCGGGTAATGAACGCATGAACGATGGTGGAGATAAGCACCATGCCTTTTAATACCTGCATAAGATACCAAGCATTGCCAACAAAATTCATGTTTACATTTAGCACATGTCATATGATCGCAACCTTCATTCTTTTCGATATGTGCATGGCATTTTGGACATGCTTTTGTATTGCCATTGATCCAACGTTCACTAGCGTGTTGTTGACCAGCATTCCGAGGCATGTCATACTCTTCACAAGTCATTCCTTCGTGCCACGGAGATCGATGTTTGAAACAAGTTGATTTCTGACAATTAGTACATATGACAGTCATATTCATAGTGCCACCTTCATTTAATTGACCGGAACCACATCCATGAGCACACCAAATGAATTCCGGATGTTGTTCGAGTGATCGATCAAGATTTAATTTGGCGAAACGTTCATAGAGAGCATCATCATCGTTGCAAATAAGTATTTGTTTAACTGTAACATGTGGTAAAGGGGCAGAACATTCTGGACATTGGATATCTATGGCAATATTCCAAGTATTGCGTACATATTCATACATGCAAATATCACATATTGTCCGAGTTGGATGTGAGCAGTTCGTACTAGCATATACTTCGTATTCTTGTATTGGTTTTAGTTCCAAACAAACAGTACATGATCGTTCAGATAAGGCTGCGACAGATTTTTTCGATCTGTACAGAGAAAAGAAGCGATTTCGTTGACTATTAAGTACTGAACATAACTTACATTTGCGTTTCGTAGGGAATTGGAACTTCTACGGGATTTTGAAGTTTTTCAAATGATTCTGAGATTGGTGATAATTGTGATATAGCCATAAGTAAAATTGATTGATGATTTCTGTTGAGTAGTCGACCTTATTTAAATCATCTTGCATCATTTTGTATATGCGTCACCGATTCATTTTTTTCGTTTTCTCTATGTTCGGTATGCAAAAAAGTAAAACATTTGTCAATGTGACTCATTTTTCGTTAGAATATGCCACATTGGCAAAGAACAATCATTCCTTATGCATTCATATTGATTGAATTACTCAGCAATGATTTACTACGTCAGTACGAAAGAAATCGATCGAATTTCTTGAATACAAATCCTGTAACATCTCGAATGTCACGTACTAAAAATGAGTTTTGCTCTACATAGCTCACAATATAGTTCTAGCAAGTCTAATCTTATCAGTTTGACTCATATTTAGTAAGCAATATGGAAAAAACCTCATTTCATATGCCTTTGCATTTCAGCATTCGTGCAATAGGATCGAACTATAAAAGTTAAATTCCATTTGGAATTCGACGTGAGCGTAACATAAAATTGTTCCTGAAAATATTATCACATTCTCATTTTATTTTCAAAAGATTAAAAAAGAAATGCACGATGATTTGAAATTACTTGAAGGAGAAAAAATCGAACAATTATTTTTTCCATGGGCGTACTGCCAGTAAAACAATGAAAACAATAACAACCAAAACAATTAGAACTAAATTCAATGATCAAACGAGCACGAATTTCTTTTTTTGGTTGTAAGAAAAGCCAACTTACTTATGAAAATTGTTAGTTTGCGATTTTTCCATTTCATTCGTTGTTGTACATGTCTGCCTGAATCGTGAAAATGGTGCGATGATGCACTCAAATCATGAGCACGTTCAGTTAACACATCTAACCGATCATCGCGATCGACTAGTTTCTCAATAGTGACTTTTAACACATTGGTAGTTTTTGTTACATCAGTACGTAAGGCAATTAGGTTATCCGCTGCACTATAGCGTGAATCAGTCATCTCAAAAGGAAAAGTAGACAAATGTATCACAAAGAATAAGGAGAGTACGAATGATGACGAAAGATAAGAATTGATAAAGAATAAATAAATTTCGTGATGATATAATTTGAAGCAAAATATAGAGGCAAAAAAAGACAGTGTAAAGTCTATTTATTACTCATAGGACATTATGAATAATGATGAAAGAAAAAACAAACTTTTGAGATCAATTTACATGGTATTTTCAATAATTATGCATCGATTATTATAGTTGAACTAAGATCGGCTGGATCCGACGAGTCTAAAAGAAAATATCAATCGAATTGTTTTTGGAAAAAAGTATATAAACAAGAATTGCCTTGCAAAGACTTTTCCTCAAAGAGCAAAGCGATAATCAACAAAAAGAAACTACCTTTGAAAAAATCGTCTCGCTATGAAAAATATTTCAGGTTATTGTTAGTAAGAAAATATTTTATATTTACCTGGACGAACAGACGGTTCAGGCTGAGTATCTATCAGAGGATCGTCAGTATTGGAAATCAGTGGACGAGTTTCTATAGAAGTCAATGTATTTCTTTCCAGACGAAATTCTTTTGACGCCATCAAATTTACAAACCTGAAATCATTGGATCATCACTATAGAGATTATTTGCTGCCATTGCTCTTGCTGATCTTAAACCATATTTCTCTTCCAGTTCTCTTCTTCGATCTCGACGTTGCGTTGCCGTGGTTGTATTCGCCAACGTATCAACTCCACCATAATTTCGACGCTCTGAACAAAATACAATCTTCAAGTATACAAAACTGCTCCTGAGATCTGATAATGTCACCTCTTGCCATTAAGCTCTTTCCATCTTCAACATATTCAGTTGAAACATCGTCATCATCGAAAAATTGTCGAAAACCACAAGCATGTAAACATCTTGAACCCAGTCGAAAAAACGTTCCAAAACTTAATAGACATATTAACATTGGAAAGTAAAAGTTGAATCCGACCGACACAATTTTGATTGCTGTCAAATGGCCCATAATCTATCAAATAAAAACAGGCATGAAAGAAATTCCATGTTTTTCAATCTACCGATGTGAATGCTGTTTCTTCGTGGTCAATTTTATGTGTGATAGCTTGGTCCAAATGAATCATACCAAGAAAATTATAGCACAATGGTGCAGTTAAACGGCAAAGAAATGTTGCTGCAAATATCAAACTGTTTTCATCCGTTAAATGGTACAATGACAGATAGAAATAATTTAATATACGAATACGAAAGATTGTATAATATGCACATAAACATAAATATGCAATACTTAAACAACAGAATATCTAAAGCAAAGAAAACAATCGATTTCAATTTTCAATGATTGATTTCTTACTTCGATCGTCAAATATGAATAATGTCGACTTGCAGCTGTAACACATTGTGCGAAGATAGACAGAACAGGTGAAGTACTGAAAAAGGTCATTTCCGACCAGATCACCAACAATGATATTATGCCGAGTCCAATACCAAGAAGGCGAAGTCCCCACGGACGGAGAAAACAATGAGTGTACCATTCTAAAAACAGCAAGTACAAAACAGAGTGTTCATTTTTGGTTAATTGACTTACCTAGTTTAGGATGTTTATCGAATAATTTTCGTCTTAACCATGTGGCTGATGATGGATTGGTTCGAACGAATTCATGATTCGTATTTTCAGCGTTTTTGACAATATCCTCAAAATAGAAGGCCTCATTGATTTGTCGAGTCCATGATACTTGTACACGATTATGGACGTGAATATTGGTTTTTAATCGTTCGTGTAACTTAATTCATTGTTTTTCTTTTTCATTATCATCAGTAAAACGATTCGGAATCGATATACGATTATTTGCGTAATCATTCAGTGTCAATTGAATTCGATTGGAATATTGTTCAGGTACGATTTGGATTATCTGTTCGAGACATGGACGTAATGGATCAGTAGTTTTGATTTGCATACAAAATTTGATGACATCATCGATCAACGAATCTAAACGCTCTTCAACATCCACTTTTTCATTGTAAAGTCGGGATAACTTAAATTGTGTGTGTGCAAGCATATAACTTGTTCGAGAATGATTGTAAATATTCTTCGGAACTTGAACAAGACCATAGCCAAGCATCAAAACAAGAAGAAATAAACCCCAAGTTGTACTAGCCGCAACCAATGTTGCCTAAATTGAGCAGAGGAAAAGAACGATTTGGGGAATACTGAATAGTTATGTGTACCGTAAAACTTGACGAATCCATTGTAACTTTTGTTGCTACATAAATTACGAGAACAATGAAAATCAATAGTAGCGTTCCATAGAAAATTAAATTTGCTTTGATTGCATATCGAATTTTTCCTTTAATGGAAAATTCTCCTAGACATCATACGAAACATTATCGAACAGAAACATATTTCATCAAACTGACCTGTCTCACGGAATGATTGCATCAATGGCAAGATCAGCCTATAAGAGAAAACAAATTTTCGTACTAAAAGAATGTTTTTGTGTTTCTAAGTACCAAGTTAACACTTGTGATGTCCAAAACACGACTTGCCATAACACCGCATAGACATTCCGATCAACATAGGACCATGGTCGAGGACAAACTATAACTGTTGAATTATTCTGAAAAAGAAATATGTACTTTCAAACTTCAACCAGAATACCAAAGTTTACTATCAATGAGTTGTTGCTGGTCGGTGGTTTGACGGTGATTGGTTCTGGGTGCGTGACACAATCTCGATATATTGCCTAAGGATAATGAAGATAAGAATTAAAATCAATCAAAAAAGAAAATTCAATTACAAGCGATATGTCCAATGGAAGGATGAAAATAGTCAGTGTAGAAAAGAACCAAGCAATAAATACAGCGATGGTTGTAACTACATGCTGTCGACGATAGTTACCACAACGATAAAGGAAGATTAATGTGATTATCAGTGAAAAAATTATATTAAAAATAAATGCAATACTAGACATTTTGGTTTTGATCTGAAAACAAAGAGTGAGTATCTTTGATATTATACTGAGTTCAAAGGAACTTTTGATAGAAGAACACAAATTGACGGAATATCTTTATTCAATTTGATCTTTTTTGTTATCGAGATTTTTTCATCTTTTGCCTTATAACCAATTTGTACATATTCATGAAATGTAAGATTAGATTCACGTTTGAGCATTTCAGCACATGCAATCGCTTTTGATATGCCATCGCCCGTTGCATTCCATGTGATTTGTTCAATTGAATTATCTGCTGAAGACAATTTACGTCGAACATAAGCAACCAAGTTTTTCGTTCTCGAACCAGCTTTAACTTGCATATGAAGACACGATGAATGAAGAATGTATGGTAATGGTAACGACTCTTTTAATGAATGCTGCTCATTAGACATGATTTAACGAAGACAAAAGATCTAAAATCGAATCGATTGTCAAGAAACGTAGTAGTGAGAAGTGAGTGTTCTTATTTTCAGTTAGGAGAACAAGTTGAAATGGAATCGAAGCTGTGAAGTACAACAAACTCTGATAAGAAAGTAGTTGCAATGTTAGTTTATCTTAAAATTCACCAATTCAGTGCAACACATCACGCGTACTGCGTATACGCATGAAGCGATGACTCATATCTCTACTCGAACAACCAATCAGTGAATATCTTGAATGTATTCCAACAAAATTGTCATAATTCACAGTTTTTTAAAGAAAAGACATGTATAGCAGATTATTCGAACATTTCGCAACGCTGATATTTGCAATCGAATAGATGGCGGTATCGAATGAGAACGATTTTTAATAAGCGTGTGGAGATTCTAAAATTTGCTTTGTGAATAAATATCATGGGAAACGAACATCTTTTTCCTCACGAATCAGTTGTGATCGCTGGAAGTGAAGAGTTCGTATTTGGATTACAATTGGTGTATCGCACAATCTGAGAATGTATTGAAATTAAATCGAACAAAAAACGTCGTTGGTATACTTTTCAACTGGACACGAATTTTCTTTTTGATATACTTTGTAGAAATATCTTCTCAGTCAGACTATGCAAACGATATTCATCCATTTAATTGAAAAAATGAGCATTTTTGTGAACAATTCTATTGGAACATCATACAGTAATAGATGCTTATAATGATGGAATTGCAATCTGTAAAGTCAAATTGAAAATTAGTCTAACAGCTTTTTTTATTGTAAATCAATATAACAAGAAAAATGAGAAGAAAAAGACAACGATTATATACGATTTTTAATTTACGACATCGTCTATATAAAATCAATGATAATATCGTTACTATCAAAGCCTAATGTAGAATGCAATTGTTCACCACTTCCAATCCATGAATTGAACTGTTTGAATTCCCATGGATCATAGAATTGTGTTGGATTTGGTGCGCCTAGATCAATAAAGATATTTTCTTGGTAATTATAATAATCAGATGCAGCTTCGAAGTTCAATGGCACAGCTTTCAATGAGTCAACTGCTTTTTGAAATTTTGGATCAAGGATTTGGCATTGCATAAGAAACTCGGGATCAATTTTTCCACCTACTCGTGCAGCAAATGCGACAACACTGCAAGCACATGGACATGCACTCGAGAATTGGTATGGTTCACAATGATATTGAGCAAACATGGTATGAATCTTGGTAGGATAGAGAGGTGTTAGCAGTATAAAGAAAAATCAAGGTAAGAATCGGTGAATGATGACAAAACGAACGGATATGTGTATTTATATATATATGTACATGTCTGTTGATCATTACCCTTTTGTACTGTTCGCTTCAATGACAAGAGATATGGACAAATCAAGAACGATACGCTTCATATATCTTCTTGATTTAAAATATTGATAGAAGATTTCGACTATTAACTTGTAAATGATAGTATAAGCGTCGTGCGTATGCGAGCCTTTGATATATGAACTGATATTCTTCCTCCGTCGTAGAAGAGCATTGATACCTCCAATCAAAAAACTTAATCTTGATATTCATCTTGAAAGAGATGAATGATTACTTGACGATTGAACACATTAGATTAGTGATCGTCAAGGCTATTTGCAAAGACTTTCTTGCGCGAACATATTCCTCTTCTGTTGTACAAAAGAACTAGTCGAACACGCTAAGAGCTGTTACCTAGACATGTCTATCTAATTAAAACAACACGAAATAAACAATATTCTATATTTCTCCAATCAGCCTGTTAAATTACTGACCTTGATATGCCGTATACTTGACTATATCATAACACCTTTAGACAAAACATAGTGAAGGTCGATACATCAACATTATAGAAAAAAAACATTTTTCTAGATAACTATCAAGGTTGAACAAATCGATGTTATTTATTAACGAACATTCTGTCGGAAATGCTTTCAACCAAGTGTAATAAGATGATGGATAAAAATCATTGATCTATTTTTCATTGGTAAATATTAAAGCGAAGCCCCGCAAGTCAAATACATTTATTTATATCAAACAAGTATATCAAGATTTAATCATTAATGTTACATGAGAATTTAATTGTTTTTGTTTTTGAAATTTTTCATCATTGGAATATCGATAAACAATAAATAACGCTTCTTTGCACATATCAACGAAGCGATAGCAACACTTCAGCTCAATATCAGACAATGGATTGTTGCCTTTCATGAACAACAATTCCCATGAACTAGTATGACAATTGAATCGGACAAAATTTAGTGCATAGTAATGTAAACAACTTACTTATGTCGATTTTGACATGTTTCCCACATGCATTGTCCATGATTCGCCAGTAATCGTCGCTCAATTTTTGACAAATGACGATTCAACGGTAAATGTTGAGCCAGCTCATCGATGATACATATTTTTTTTATTATTTGTTGAACATTGATCCAAACCATTTGAATAATGGATTCTCTTTTGTTTGCGTCTAATTCAACTAACCAAAACCGACCGATATCTGCTTTGTATTCAGCCCAATTTTCCGTGATCTATAGTGTGATTTATTAGTCAACATATACGTAGTTTTTTTTTAATGACAATTAACAAACCGTAATGCAAAGTCGATTGGTTTCTTGATCAGTTCTGTTTGGGTAATGAATACGCAATTTATTCATTTCGTTGAAGATTAATTCACTTAGGCGACACAAATCATCGTTCGTCAAGTGATATTCCTAATAAGCGAACATTTAATGAACAAGTAATGGAAACTTTGTTTTTTATACTTTTGTAATGTCAATTGTAGTGGGTGTAGTTTGATTGAGTGATTGCTGCTGCTGTAGATTCGCGTGTAGAATAGCTGATTGTGTCACCATTTGAGATTTATTATTTGATCTTCGAACTTTAGGTGAAGGTACTCGTTGTTCTTGTTCACGATATTCTGATGACGATGATGTTGTGTAGAACTTTTTCTCTGTGATTCGACTAGCAGAAACACCTGGCAGAGTTTGATGCGAATCTGATTCTGATCGACTGACACGTCCTGTTGAAACCAATGAATTGGATCGTTTTTTCGTCTTCGGTGCTGCCGATGTTGTTCGAAGAATATCTGCTGGCGTTTGCGTTCCCACTCTTTTGCTAAATGTATCTTCTTTTAGAGAAGATTGTTGAGTTCGATTGGGAGATGGTGAAGATTCTCGCGGCTTTTCCTCTTCATCATCGCCAAAACCGTATGTAAACGTAGTCAATGACGATGCACGATACAATCCCGCAGACTTAATTGATGCCTGAAACAACGTTTCTCTCACACAGACTGTTTTGTATAAAAAAAAAGCTTACTGGTCGTTTAGTCGTTTCTAACTGTTCGATTTTTTGTATTAACTCTCGTTCATCATACTGTTGAGTATAGTTCACATATCTGGATAGATTATATGGAGTAGGAGATAAAATATGAAAACACTTGGATAATGTATGCATTAGTCCATTCATACGTTTGTCATCATCAACTGGAAACAAACGAACGAAACCACCACAATGATGACTCTCGAATATGTCTCGTGCTCTTTCTCGGCGAAGAAGAAATAATATTTCTTTCTATGGACAAAGAAGAATTAGACTTAATAATCGGAATAAGAAATAATCCATCATACCAATTGTTCTACTTGATCTCGTTGAGTATTGAATGGTTTTCCTATACTTAAATACAATCGACGTTGTGCTTCAACTTTCTCGATTGCATCACTCTTTTCGCGATCGGATACTTGAAAGTGAAGTAAATTCAGTGTATCACATAGTAATTTCATTTTAATGTCAAATTCAATTTGTTCACTTGTGTCAAAACTTGGACAACGATTGACCTTAAATTAGACAATAGTAATCACCGCGATGAACTCTTTCATCGAAAAAAAAGTATTACCTCAATAATCCAAGGTTTGAGATTCTTATCAATCAAAATATCGAAACCAAGCAATTCAAAACAGACACTTTCGCTTGTTGGCAAAGCTGCTGGACGACACGTTCGATATGCAGATGACATATGTGGTTCAGCAAGAAAGATTGTTTTAGTAATAATATTCTTAAAGAAAACCGAGAAAAACTATTGTTTTACTTGACTGTTTGAATATTTACTTTGATTTCAGTCCATAATTTTTCAACATCATGATTATCCCGTTTTAAATAATCGAATAACTGTTGCAATGATCTTCTTTTACTACTGTCGAGATCTAAATCATCCGGATTCTTCTTAGTTATCGAATAATTTGTTAAATGCATTGCATAATCCAACTAAAATAAATTCAATTTTGTCAATGGTCTATTCGCTTCTCAAAGAAAAAACGTACAACGTTTATTGGAGTCGGTAATTGATATTTTTTCGAACTTAGTCGAACAAGACCGTTGTTGAAAATAAAAACACGTAATGGATCACAAGATGTTATCAGGGCATAAATACGTAGATCTTGAAGGAGAAACTATTGCAAGAGTTTTGATATTGAGAAATATCTTACCAAATTTGAAACCATCGAGGAGATACGGTTCTCGTATATATTCTTGAATTATGTAATTATCTAATTTCTTCACCTGTTTGTAATTACAATGAATTGCGATTCTAAAAATGCCGATCGTCTTAAAAAAAACAGGTTTTTGTATGTGAATTACCCGTGTCCCATTGCCGTATTATTAGGTTTCATAATATAAGTTGCTGAATCTTTGTGTGGTCGATTGGTCGCATATGAATACCAGAGATTGTAATCATTGGGTAGAGTCCATGTTTTTGGGGCGAAATTATATTCTTTTGGAAGAAAACTTCGTATTCTACTCGAAGAAAAAGTACAAGTTTATCCGCAGTAGGATTGACTTACTGATCATAGTTTTTCGCTAATAAATCCTTTCGCGAGATTTCATTCATAGTTGGAAAATGATTCACTTTCTGATAAGGTTTGAGTGCAGAGACAATATCCATCGAGATTAATGTATCATTCCATAAAAGATTACAAGTAAAATCAGAAGCTGGGGTAATGTAAAAACCTGCGACATCCATTGCTTCACAAACTAAAATAACAAGAACATGAAGGTCATTCTCGAACAAGAATATACATTTGTTATTAGAAAAACGAATAGAACTTCCCAAAGGTCACCACATCATTTCACATGTCCACAGTTATTTTATTTATATTCCATTAATTCAAGGTATATTTTTTGCACCTTTATCAATTGTACATATATAAACAAAACAACTGTTTATTTCAATAAACTCGTATACAAGTCAGCCTCTTTCGAGAAAAAAAACATTTTCTAGAACCAATTACACCCGCGCATCATACGTCCTCGCTCGTTGTATATAAATAGACACGTACCCTGGAGCTGTCACATCGTTAGTTTTCTCAGCAACATGGCAATCCATAACAAATGTCCACTACTCAGAGCTATATTTGGCTGTGGAAGTTCATCCCAGCACGACTATCTAAGTCAGTCAGTAGATGTACCGTCGACGGAATTCCTGGAATATGACATGCAGACAATTCCACTGAATCCACCTTCGCAACGATTGAGGACTCGATATGTTGAATATTACATTCCGACACTGGAAATTATTCGAACGGCACGTGAATTATCATCAACACAATTTTTTTAACGTATTTAGAAAAAGAACTTCTTTTTTTTCTAAGATGACAGTCTTTTATTATTATTATTATTATTATTTCAGCTAAGTCAGAGGAAATTGACTTACTCAAACGAAATTTTGTACCGGTTACATTTGCATGAAGGCCTTGTTTTTTTCTTCGTTTGTATGGTAATCTTTTTCTATCAATAAATTGTTGTTCTTCTTTTTCTCGTAACTTTTGTTCACGTAAGAATTTCACCATATATTGAAACGCTTGGAAAGATGTGTGAATTGAACGAATATCGAATTCATTCTTATCGATACCCAGTTTATTTCCCAATCGTAATAGATCAGATCGTTTACGAAGAGTTACTAAAGAGGCGTGAACAGCAATTTGAAGTATATGATCATTAGGTGTACGAATTAGTTGATTGATCGCTTGTACATAAGATATTAATGGTTGAGATTCGGTAGATCGTTCCAACGGACGAGGATTTCGAACATGTTCAGAAGCTTCACGCCAAATACGTACAAGTTGAGCCATGCTCACATCAGTTGATACAGCTTCATAAACAATTGTCATGAGATCAAATAGATGTGCACGATTCAGGGCGGATCGGTCAGCACTTGTTAATTTTTTATATGCATCTAATCTGATCACTGGTAAACCGTTGCTTGTCACAGGTGATTTCGCTCGTCGGTCGTCTTTTCGATGAGATATTTCTGTTTTACTTTTCATTATATCATGGCAAACACGAACTAGATGTTCAATTCCAAGTGATTGTAATCGCAATCGATTTACTTCATCATTATCGTCGTCGCTACCATCATTTGCACGGTATTTCCATCGCCCATCGATAACCATTGATTTCAATGAAGTTGTACTTGATGTGTAATTTCGAGATGGGTTCATCGGTTGATGAGAAACTAATTTTCTTATAGTTCGATTATTATTATCTTCATCATCTTGTCGAGAAGATAATTGGTGCGATGTTCGAGTGGGAGTTGGTGATCGCATTCCTAATTCACTCAATGTTCGATAATTATCGACATTCAACGCTGATTGACGACTCTTTGGCGAACGAAGCATACTTTTTCGTATTTCTCAATAGATATAACACTGTTAAATTATCTTTCAAACTACCATTTGATATTAAGAAATGCTAGGTAACCAACCTCACGTAAATATGTGAACCAATGTAAATGGTAATAGATGTCGCCAGTGAGAGCTGTGTTGAAATGATAACTGTCACAGTTTCATAGAATTTGTAAGACTGGTATGAATTTAATATGTAGTTTTATTTGAGAAAGAATGAGAACGATTTTCACTGTTATTATGATAAATGAAGCAGAGGAAGAAGAAGAAAAAGAAATTTATTGTTTATCAACAACCTCTCGTCGAAGTTTTGCAGCCATTGCTCTTCGTTTTTCTAACTCATCGTTGGATATCTGTTGCTCCTTTTCCATTGCTTTTCTCGCCACATTCGCCGCTGATTGAGGTCGAGCATCGATTGTTTCATTTTCCAATTCTCGTGCACGTTCATGCCGTTGCTTACTAATGATTAAGTCACGTTGTTGTTTGAGAAAATTTTGTCGTGAAGACACCATAGATGCCGTTGTCTCATCATTGGCTGTACTAATGGTTAATTCACGTAGTTTTTCACGTAGAATATCCTCAGGGACAGAATCGATTGTCTCTGGCTCCTTCATTATCTAAAGAAGATAGATATGACATTCAATCCGTTGAAAACATCAATGAGTTACTTTAGACTCGCGCACTTCTCGTTGTCGACCGCCGGGTTGAACTTCAACATTGTCCCGTTGTTTTGAATTTGGTAAAACAGTCGATGCTGGACTTGCAGTTGTTGTTTTTGTTGCTGGTCTATTCGCTGCCGAAGTTGCTTGTAGAACTAATTGTAAAACTCGGTCATCGTTTGCATCCGATGGTTTTAAAATTCCGTGTTCTAACTGAAGATTGACCAGTGCTTGTAATTGAAGAATTAAATTTTTCCGTTTCATCATTTCTGTAAATAATTCAAAATCATCCGCAGAATACAATTGTTCATAAGACTCATTCATTGCTACGGATGAATTTCTTTGATAAATATTTTTCAGAGCATTCTTCTCGAGATTAAAATCATCACTAAGACTTGTTAACAATGAATCGACTAATCTTTGGTATTGCCTATAGATACTCTTTTGTTCAGTGAGCAACGATGATGATGGATGATTATCATCCTCATAATCAAAACAAGCGCAATGTGTATCGATAAATGTTTGAACTGGTGCTAACCATATTGATGAATGAACAAAATCATGAATGAGATCATTAATCCAACTTTCGTCCCCCGAAGCCATTTTGTAAATAAATCTGTGTTTTACTTTTATTTTTCTACTACCATAGACTGTGAGCATCGGTTGGAAACAACACCTGTTATCTCATGAACGCGTTTTCTCAAATAATTAGCGGCATCTATTTGGAAATGTTAAAATCGACAATTCAAATTGCGGCATGAAACGATTACAGTTAACTCGCACGAAAAGACATCACTGGCTCTTCCTTAAGATCAATTGAGTGGACAAATAAATGAAAATAAAGCTCACGATTCGATTCCATGTGGAAAACTGTATGGTTTTAGATTTATTCAGTAGCTGTTCCTGATGTCTGACAGTATAACTTTCTCATATCCTTGAAGAAGAAAAAAGAAAGCACTAATCTGTTTGATTGTCTAGTGACATCTTTTGAATTCGAGCTTTACGAAGATTTATTCTAATCGAATTATATATAAATCGAACGAACTAACTTTGTAAAGAAGAAAGAAACGTGCTTGTTGCTTGTGTTGCACATTTTATTTGTTATGCTATCAAAGGTTCATCGATTTATTAATACTAATCATGATCATTCTTACACGACTAATAATCGATTAACCTCATCACTTGATCGCATAGATCATATCACAAGTTCTGACGATGAAAACAATGGTATGTTCAAACGATTTGATCTGTAGGAAAAATTTTTCTTCTGTAATTCAAATAGTTTATACTCAAACTCTACTGTATATCGTTCATGTTGACGAGATTGAATCGACAACAGTCGATGGACAACAGTCAAATAAACCTATACGAAAAGTGTCGAAACGAACAACGGCTAGTTTTAATGAGCAACAGGAACAGCAGCAACAACGACATTTTCATACACCAAAATTGCCACCGTCAACACCACCATCATTTAGTTTTTCCAATCCATTTCGACGTTTAAATAGTTAGTAGTTCTAATTCATTGTTTCTTGTCATTATACAATTTTTCTTTGAAGATTTATTAAAAGCTGCTGATAAATCGACACAAAGTACATCGACACCGAACTTGAATGGTAAACTATTCGTGAACAATTTCACTGGTAATTCTTAATACGTCTTTGACCTTTAGTGACGCCATTGAGTTCATCGACGACGAAAAAGTCGTCGCTAAACAGTCAACTTCGTTCACAAAATCAACGAAGTACTGAACGATTTCCTCCACCACCACCAGAATTTTTCGCGGATCATTCGATGCCCACGAAAAACAAACAAATGATTATTCGCGCTAGTGGTCCTGGCCTAAAAGATGGATATGTTGATGATCACTGTAAGTGCATTTTGGTTTCTAATATGCGCTAAACAATTCGTTGTAATCGAAAGGCCATTTCGATTTGAATGCACGCGACGCTGAGTTACAAAAACTCGTCATTGCAATTGATGGTCCATCGAAAGCTGATATTCAAATTCAAATTGTCGAAACGGGAATCTATCGGGTGTACTATAAGTGTCAATTGCCTGGTATAGTAATACTCATCGATATAAACGAATTCTTTTCTTGTCTTTAGGTAATTATCATCTTTCGTTAACATACGATGGTCACCATATCGATAGATCACCTTATCATCTAATCTTACATACACGGCCATCTCAAGAACAAATCGTTCCGCCTGCTAATACTCCAGTACGTGCAAAAATTGAACCTGCTGAATTTTGTGTAAGACGAATGAATAGTTTTAGAACGTCTCGAGTCGTTTTTCAAAATCTTTAGGTAAATACTCCATGTATAGTCAATATTTATCCCGAAGTAGCTTGCAATGTCTTTCAAGCTTATGTACAAGCACCACAGGGAAATATTAATTTACCCATTATAGTCCATAAATCAGCAAAAACAGGTACGGTCGATCGAATATCAGAACGAAGAAGAGAACAACAAAAGCTTACATTTTATTTCGTTATTTAGAACGTTACGAAGTCTATTTTATCCCAAAGACTTGTGGTAATCATTGGCTAAACGTCAATCTCAATCATACACCAATTGTCGACAATCCTTATCGACTAGTAGTTCAATCGTGTGCTACTAAGAAGTCAATGCTGAACAGTAAAGAAGAACTTTTCCATGCCTACACAGGTGAGAATCACTGTGTGGTTAAGGTGTTGGATTAGAAATCTAATGGGATCTTCCTATGTAGGTTCGCATCCTACTTGTGGCGCTTGATTTTCTCCCATTCTGTTCTGAGCTTGCATAGAAAATGGAAAGAAGAAAGAGCATGGGCACAGAATGTTCTGTAAATGCAACTTATTTTTATTTAGGTGAATTGAGTCAATTTTTCGTATCGAAATCACCCTCATCGAAAACCGGACCATTTTCTGTGGGCATCAGTGGACCATCAACAGTTTTTCTCGATGCAAATGAAACTGAATATGGCTATGAGGTAACAGATATTCTCCTCGGAAAATAAGCAGCTTATTGTTCATTTAGTTTCATTACAAACCGATTCGATCCGGGAAATATTTAATTGCGATGAAAACTGCTGGTAATCATATTCAAGGAAGTCCATTCCTTTGCCGTGTTTATGGTAATTAGCATAAAAAAATCATGATACTTCTCCCTGAAAACTATCCTTTTAGATAAGGCCAATGATACTCTACTAGCAAGTCCTTCGAGATTACATCAAAGTACTACTCCGACTGAACTCGAGATTATTCGTTCGTCAATGACTGGTAAAGCTTCTCAAATATGTGTTTTTGGTGCAGGTTTATACGAAGCCAAAAAGCAACACAAAGCAACGTTTAAAATCGATGCAAGTCAAGCAGGTTAAACTGAAAGAAAAACGGCAGCATTTCATTCCTCGTTAACAACGTTTTATTTAGGTCCAGGTTTACTTTCAGTTGGCCTATACTCACCGCTCGGAGTATGCGAACGTCTTGTAATTAAACGTATTATTCCATCGTCACCTGGTTTTATTTATAAAGTTTCTTATCGAGTGCGAACACGTGGTCAATACATGTTAACAATTGTTTATGGAGCCGATATGGAACATGTGCCTGGTAGTCCTTACCTTGTTCTCGTTGAGTAAAACGAATTTCAAACGATGCATTTCACGTTCTTATTGTTATTTTGTTGTTTTTATGTGCATTAAATGTGACTTATTTGTTTTTCATTTGAACGTTCTTTCGATTGTAATGAAACAGTGTGCGTGCGTGTGAATTGCAAAAAACATGAAAAAGATTGATGCAGAATAAATGAAAAAGTGAATGAAAACAGGATTCGTCGCTTTTAATAGATGACTCTTGAGAACAAACACAAAAAGAAATATTTCTCATGTTTTCAGTTGTTAAGTTTCACTAACAACAGTTTTGTGTTAAGTCAACGAATTTGAATAGCAAACAAAATTCATTCTCTAGAACCAATTTCAATGAGTAACTACAATCCAAAAACTCCGATGCAAACAGCAAGACCAAAAAATGAACATTTCTATACAAAATTTCAAGTTCATTATGCAGGTGACATCCATGAAATCGTTTTGAAGACTAATCAAGAACCAACATGTGGTGATCTAGCAAAAGCTTTACAGCAAACATATCGTGTTCCAATGGATAAACAAATGGTGTACTATCGTGGCCAGCCACTTCATCATCATAGTCCTAGTGGTTATGAACGTCCTCTAGCAAGATATGGCATGTTTTCGGGAAATTTAATTCGCTTGGTTGGTAAACGCGGATTGATTTAAGCGAATGAATACGTATTTTTATTCAGACAGAAAAACACCTATTTATCCCGATTTTTTTTTCGTTTGGAATGAAAATAAATAACTTAATAAATATGGAAGACACCGAAAAGGAAAAATATTCTTATGTACGTAGATTCGTTGTCGAAGAAGAAGCATTCTCTGATGGACGTATTGAAACAACTGATGCATCACATTGTAATAGACGAGCAATGGATGGATCTGATTTAGCACCTATTCAACGAATAGAAGTAGGGTTCTTCGTTTTTTTTATTAGTAGCAAATCAAAAGAAAAACTACCTTCAATAAATTCTTCACGTGTCAATTTCCCATCATGATCAGTATCAAATATGTTGAAAATCTAATCGAAACAACATACAATGACTGAAGATTACCTATTCGATTTTACCTTGTCAGTTCGTTTTTCCGGTGTTGACTCATCTTCTGGCATTTGCATAATAGTTCCAACCATTTGATAGATTGCCTAGAAAAATAACTTTAATCGAAATCTTTTCAGATCCGTTCAAATCAACTTACAGTAACAATTTCGAGCATTTCATCTTTCGTTATAAATCCATCACCATTTGTATCATAAAGACCGAACGCCCAATTTAATTTTTGTTCGAGATTTCCCTTTGATGTGATACTCAATGCAGTGAGAAATTCTCGAAATGATATTCGTTGATTACGATCAGCATCAAAACGTCGAAAAACATGTTCAGCAAAAGCTGATGAATTACCTGCTGGAAATACTTGAGCATAGATTTTTTTAAACTCATCCGATGTTAATTGTCCACTTGGACAATCCTTATGAAAACATTTGTACCAGTCTTCTGTGAAATTCAAATAAGGCAAGTTTTTCTTTAAATCGAATCTGTGTTACATACGAATTTCAGTATCAGTAAATGTAGTTAGATGACGGAAATAATCGAGATCCGCTTGTCGAAGTTTACCAGGAGGTTTATTACCCATTGAAAAACAAATCTACTTTTACAGATTCACATTCGTTCTCAGCAAAATTGAAATATACAATCAGGAGAAATTATCGAATTGAATAAAGAACAAATGATATGATAATATCGTAGAACGCAGTGCACTCTGTCTTATTTTCCTATTGGTTACTCACATCAACCAGTTAAGATTATGTTTATTTTTTTCTATAGTGGTTAAATCGAATGTGTACATATAGCATGTAGTCGCAGGATTGTATCTTTCATAAATTCCTTTTTTTCTAGATATCTATTAAGATGGTCGAAGATATGAAAGCAGATGAGAAGAACGAGCCCAAGGCTCCTCTTCTGTCAGCTAAATTATCGTACCCGACACGTCCCTATGTCGCTCAAATGCCTGCATTGATGCGTCTTATTGGTCATTACACTGATGCTGGTCGACCGATGCCAGCACCTGGTTCACCTCAAGCTGAAACAGCTCTTCGTAGTTATCAAGAGGATGAACAAGAACAGAAACTTGTTTATAATCAGGATACTCAACCAATCGAAAAAGTCAATCCATTTGTTCGTTGGCATCGACGATGGTATCGTAGTAAAATCGTTGAGCCAACACCAGTAGTCGGTGCATTATATTCATCATATAATATGGCTCTTGAACCTTGGGCTATGGGTCTTGGTGATAATGCTTGTACCAAATTATTCAAACAGTATCGAATGTGCACTCATATGGTCAGTAGTTTTTGAACAATCCTATGTCCTGATCGAGTGCTATTCAAAATATGTTCTTTTTCATTGATAGATGCCGAGTACTCGCCGTTCTTTATGCGAAGATGAAAGAGAAGATGTTCGTGAATGTCTCCATGGACAGAAACGAGTAAGTATACATATCAAATATGAAAAGAATACATTCTATACACTTTTCTTTTATTTAGTTTCTTCGTCAACAATACATGTATCAACACCGGTAAGTAACGCCTCTTTTTGTTGAACATGGATTATACTGAATTATGCATTTTTCATTGACAGTGTTAAGAAAAGCCTTCCATTTCCAGAAGATCCGATCATCGACGGTTATAATTGGCCTTCATTTAAATATTTGAACTAAACCATTTTTCTCTTCTCTCTTTTATTTTCATCTTTCATCCTATCCTCTTCATTTTGTACTTAGTTTTTGTTTTCTCTCTTCCTCTCCATCAAATAAACTACCAAAAGTCCTTTTAATTGCTATCATTGCAAAAATATTCTTCGTCATTTATAGAATATAATTATGGTATCATTGATACTCAAACAAGCCCTTCAACGAACATGTAGTTTTAGTCGATCAACTTTTCGATATGCCTCTTCATCGCCCGTTGTTCAACGACATATTATTCAAGAAGATGGTAACGTTCTTTCTTATAACATCAAATCTTGCTATTGTTGCTTTACTCGTGAATTCGACAGATGTGACACGACCAAGAAACGATAATAACAGTACACCGATCACACCAGATGACCCAATGAATCACGATGATTATTTCAATGTCCGTTCAATGGTCACACTCGAAGATCTTTTCAAGTAGGTATGTTTAAGTGCACCTCTGTATGACTGACTTTCCTTCGTACTTTAGAAATCGCGCACATTATGGTCATGTCACTGGAATGAGAAATCCTTGGATGTCTCAGTACATCTATGGCCATCGACTAGATGTGGATATCATCGATTTAGACAAAACGTTACCAATGCTTCATTCAGCATTGAACTTTCTTGCCCATATTGCTTATCGTCAAGGTATTATTTTGTTTCTCACACGGTATCCAGCTCATGTACCGTTGGTTGAACGCGCCGCACGTGATTGTGGTGAATATGCACATTGTCGAACATGGGATCACCCATTTACGAACACCCAAACATTATTCGGATATGATATTCGTCTACCAGATGTATGCATCTTCACTCATACATTGGCACCACCAAATCAACTCCATCCAGCCATAAGCGATTCAAATAAACTGTTAATACCAACGATTGCATTGTGCGACACAGACTGTAATCCAAACATTATCACATATCCAGTTCCAAGCAATGATGATACAACGAAACTAGTTGAATTCTATTTGACATTGTTTCAGCAAGCCATCATGGCTGGAAAAGAGAAAAGACGTGAAAAGGATTCGTCTAATTAGTTAAAAATAAAAACGAAATACATCTTGTATCTATTGTTTTCTTTTGATTAAGAAATCAGATTAAAAAATGACGAAGAAAAAGTTCTTGATAGTTAACATAACAAACAAAGATCGTCAGACACTCGTCACAGTTATATCTTCTGGTAGAACATTGGATTAAACTCATTTTCTCACGCAGCAGTCGATGAACATGCGCTTTCCTGTATTCGTTGAGCGTTTAATGTGTCGACGTTTTGTACAAATCGCTCTGTAGCATCATTAATTATCTTTATTCGCTTTTCTATACGAAACAAAAAATTGAATTCATCCGATTTCAATCGATTATGAAGAAGGGGAAATGGAACGAACAATGACTTTGTCATAAAAATCAAGAGCATTTACCTTTCGTTGAATGTCTGAATACATCGAATAATGCATATCGATCAATTTCGTTGTTTGTCATGCGACTCCCCCAGTGATGAATAAAAATACCATAGCAAATGATTTCATTGATGTCTTTACCGTTTAAATGAATGAATTGTCAAACAATTATATCTATGCGAGGTTATTGGAAAAAAAAAACTTTTTCAATTTTTTCAGTATTGTGAGTGATGTTCTCGAGCAACGTTATAGTCTCTCCTTCATCCCCCTTTTTATACAGCTCAATATCGTTTCTGTGCTCTATCATCACTGCACTGTCAGTGAATACAATGATCACAGTATTTTTCACATCTAAGTAAAAAGACACCAATAGATGAGTCTGACTGATCCAACACAATCGTTTAGTTGATGAATTCCAACAGGTAAATAGTCATTACCTAATTTTGAAAGCAATGAAAGGATTGATTGCGCTATAGCTTTGTCGCATTTTTCGTACACCGAGTTTCACATTTGAACTCGTCATTCTCTTCAGCTTCTTCTCGATGATGACATACAAAAACATTTGAAAACCTAGGCACTGCACTTGTTTATGCTGTATATGTCTGTAGAAAATTGCCATTAACTTAATAAATTCTTTCATTATATAAGACGATAATTCCGCTGGATTACTGGCGAAACAACAATGTATTCGACTTGGATTGATTCAAATGGTGATAAAATGATTTCCAAGAATGATTTCAATTTTAATTTCCTCGACTGAAAGGAGAGTCATACGAAAAAAAATAGTTTGTATGTTTGTCTGTTTCTGTCAGGGTCAGAGGTCAAAAAAAACATTTTTTTCGAAAATGCTCACAACTTCATGAAACATCGTTTGGGAGGACTCCTGAAGCTCGAGGTTGGCTGAAGGAGGGGTGAAGGGGCAGGGACGTGACAGAAATGAAGAAAACATCTCATCCACGCCTGAGAGGAGGGCTACATGGAAGAGTTGATTACGAAAAAGTAAAAACATACTCGGTTGACTGTCGCATACCAAAGGCCAGTAATCCAAAAACACATTCATTCACAAATTACATACTGGAGAGCAATCTTAAATGCTGACCTTCGATATATTGAAACTTTTTGTAGGCCTGGCCTTTAAGCTTTTTAATTAAGGAGATAGTCTCAAATGTTCGGACGCGGATAATTTTATCTATGAGATGCTGAGGGAATGCTAATTAATTTTCGATACTTTTTAGTGGCACACGGGTAATTATCTGATATATAGGGATAGCTTTGGAGCGGCGAGTTGTGAGTGGCGCCTGGTAATCTAGCCAGTTACCAAAGTATCAACAATCCGACACGTTCGAATGCGAAATATATACAGAGTCTCATTTGGTCTCACTGAAATTATCTTTCTTTTAGAAAAAGGAGGACATGTTTAAAGGTGCAAGTCCATAATAGTCATTTATAGACGTTGGTGAAGTTAGCACCATATTCGAGTAAAAGCTTTCCATATTCGTTTAGGAATGCGTTCCAACCGTTCCAATCAGCGTTCCAAGTAGAACTCGGCGAGCTCTATCTAATGGTGTATTTATATTTTCCATAGTTCAAACGATGGTTAAAAAAATTAAAAAATACTTCATTTTTTTACTAAAATGCTGGCACCATATTCGAGTAAAAGCTTTCCATATTCGTTCNGAACTCGGCGAGCTCTATCTAATGGTGTATTTATATTTTCCATAGTTCAAACGATGGTTAAAAAAATTAAAAAATACTTCATTTTTTTACTAAAATGCTGGCACCATATTCGAGTAAAAGCTTTCCATATTCGTTCAGGAATGCGTTCCAACCGTTCCAAACAGTGTTCCACGTAGAACTCAACGAGCTCTATCTAGTGGTATGCTCAGTTTCCCCCATAACTCGAGTTTTTATTTTTAGGCTTCTAATAACGGCAGTACTGATCCAAAAAACCAAAGTTGGGACTAGGTCGCGACTGAGCATACCACTAGATAGAGCTCGCTGAGTTCTACTTGGAACGCTGTTTGGAACCGTTGGAACGCATTCTTGAACGAATATGGAAAGCTTTTACTCGAATATGGTGCTAATTTCACCGACGTCATTTATAGCGAACTTCTGCTTCCTGTGAAGAGTAATTATCAGTCAGGAATATAGAATAATTAAAAGCAACACAAGTAGTCCTTTGACTCTTTTGAAGACTGTGAGGCGAATGAAGATCAGTCTCTGGGGACCCTTTCAAAGGTTATACTTCTGTCTTTTTTTTTCATAGAACGCACATAAGACTATTTTATTTTCAGTCAGTGGTTCAGTCGAGGGCATAGCGAGTCTGCCTCTGTTAGGAACCGTAACGAGCCAAGAAGGAAGAAAACTGTGAACGGGACTTCACGAAGAGTTGTATGAAAACCTTTATTGACCAAAAAATGAAAGGAAGAAAAAAAAAGAAAAACAACAACAGGAAGAAAGAACGAGAGCCTAAACGAAGGATCGTCCATCTATTTAATATAGATGGCGATTCTGACAGTCTCGACGAACGTTACTAGTATTTAAAATAATTTATAAATGTTTGGTTTTTTCATTAATAATCTTTTCGCTTAATTCCCATAATTCTCGTGCTTTTTTCGAATCATAAGCAATTGAACTTGGTTGGGCTACTCGACAATTAGAATGATATTTTCCAGGTTGAGCTTCATCTGATAAAGCACAATACAAAGTTGTCATTGCTCCTTGACGTATAGATTTAGAAATTATTTTTGAAAGAAGCGATATAATTAACATCTTATAAGATTTGTTATCACGACTTAAGCCTGTTGTTCTAACTCCACCAGGATGAAGTGAATAAGCTTTAATACCTTGATTGCCATAACGTCTTTGTAATTCATTTACATGTAGAATATTCGCTAATTTTGACTCAGAAACAGCTCGAAAAGGATCATATGAATTACTATGAATAAAATCAGTATTTTCTTTAGCATAAACATGTCCTTGACTGCTGACATTAACAATACGTCCATTTGATTTGATTAATAATGGTAGAAGAAGTTGAGTTAAATAAAAATGACCAACTAAATAAAAACATACGAATATAAATATCTCATTAAATGATATAACATACTATGATTTGTTCCAAAAGTACTTTCTAATCCATCTTTAGTAAATTCTTTATGTTCTTTGATAACACCAGCATTATTAATTAAAATATCAACTTTATCAATTTTTTCAGCGAACGCTTTTACACTTGCTAAATCAGTTAAATCTAAATTATAACCAATAACATTTCCATTTGATTCTTTACTTAATTCTTGAGCAACACGTTCTGCTCGCATTTGATTACGTATACCAACAATAACACGCGCATGAAGTTTAGCTAATTCAATTGCTGTCATTCGACCAATTCCAGAAGCGGCACCAGTAACAATAACAGTTTGATTATTTAAATTCTTTGTCGATGTATATGAATGACCAGATCTTAATCGTTCATTTATTATTCGAAAGATAAAAATTTGAATAATTATATAAATGAATGTATAAGTCCCTGAATGAACAAAAAATATTATAAATATGAATAATAATATATTTCCGAAGACAAATAGTGCTGATTTAGTCTCTGGTTCTTTTAATGCAATTTTCAATGAAAAAGCCATTTGACGTATAATAGTTCTTTATTCAACAAAGACAAAGAATATGAACGATAAATTAGTCATATGTTTGGTAAGTAGAATACACCACTGAGTTGCCAGTGAAAATATAAGCTTGTTATAGAGGACGCTAATAAAAATTTTTGACATAACGTAGAATGTCTTAACGTCCATGACTTGTTCTATGATTTATTCGTTCTGATATACTTTTCAAATCTGATCTTACTGACTCTAAATAGAATTTTACAACTATAATTAACTAAAAGCAAAATATTCCGTATTTCCCAAGATTAAGAGTCATTGTTAAAGAAGATGTATTTATGAATGAAGAATAGGTCCTCATTCACATTTTCTGTTCGATTAGAACGATCTAGGTTATAACGTTAATGTTGATGTACCAGTCACATATTGAATCGTTTCCTCCATAAAATTATTTAACAACAAACATATTAACTTTTCATATTTACTTATTCAATGAATTTTACGTCTCTGGAAAGTTTTTTTGAGTATAACTGTTATTAAATGCATCCCGATGATAATGATATATGACAGTGCATTTTGATGCATCATTAAGGAGACTTTATCTTTCATTCTGATGGATTATTTAGTCTTTCAATGTAAAAAAAACAGTCTGGAATCCAGACTCTGGAGGTTATACATAATTAAAGCGTTATATTTTTTGTAAGATACATGACATGAAATCGTTAACATAAAATATGTATGAACTCAATGATAATGAAGAATCGATTTATTTTTGAGTAAACTATAGAATGAAAAATTTTATTGCGCATCTCGAAAATAAGCGCAGGAATTCCTTTTTTTATGAGTTAAAGTTTTGACGAAATGAGCCATCGAAATTTTATTCTTATTCACAGTATAAAGGAGAAAACGATATATACAAAACTTGACAAGGTGAAACAACGAGTAGTCATCCTATTCCGCGAAAATACATATTTGGGCATGTCCATGTAAAGTGACACTTCGCTGATTAAGTTTTGAAAACTTGCTTTTCGATAACAGCGTTTCTAAACACTGTTTCAGATGTAGTTTTTAGCGCTGATTACGAATCTGACGTCTATTTTGTTCGTAGCCGACTTTTTTCTCTAAGAAAATATTTTTTCAGCTTTTTGAGAATCGTATTTTGGGTTGTCTCAGCAAAAAATTTTCTTAAAACATGTTCTTTTACATGTCATTCGATGCAAAATTTAATTCTCTACAAAATGACATATTAAGGTTTGGGTTTTGTAGCAAAAGGCGGTTCGTGAGCTCCTTACAAGTTCTCGACTTGTTGCTTCTAATATGAGCTTCTACATGAATATACTGATTGCATTTCCAGATATAAGTCATCCCAGCACCGAGTAGACTTACACTTTAAAAAATCACTTCATTCTAAGCATCTTAAGGGTGTGAAAAATGATCAGCAAAAAACTGTGTCACAACGTTACGTTTGTATGTCGTATTTTCTGTACGAAATAAAACAGTGAGAAGAAAATCTTTCTTAGCAACACAAAGTCCTTTGAAAGCTCTACAAAACACTGCTTTGTTATATTTAATTTGAATAGTATCTTATGAAAGAGTTAACAACGAAAATGATGTACTGCAAGATCAGGGTCCTTTTATGTCACGCGACCCTAAAATAATCGCAGAAATACAAGAGCTCAACCAAAATCTTTGATTTTTTTATCATTGATAGACTTTAACGAGCTGCATTTACAAGTGTTTGAACGGGATCCGTAACTTTTATAGTCTTCGAAAAAATCGAAAAATACTTTGTCAAAATTTCACAACGTTACGTTTAGACAAGCCCTACATTGGTGAAATATTAGGCAAAGTTGCTTTGTCGCCTATTACGTTCCACCAGCTACTGCCAATAGAAGTACGTAAATTCTGTATGACATCGTTCGTACTACCGTTATACTTCACAAACGTATATCTAGATCATTGTACCTTGTCAATGTTTTGGCCTTTTGATTTGCCCATATTCGAAGAAATTCCTCCATTCTTTGAATCATTTTTTGCAACAAAAATTAGAATTGGTCGTTATTTGAATATATATCATGTCACAAAAACATATCAATTTTAAAGCATCCAATAGATAACTAATATATTTCAAAAATGAATTTATAAAGAACACAACTAATAGATTTTTCATGGAAATTAGTGATTTTTTAATCTGCAACTGATAGAAAATGAGTGCGTATTGTTAGGTAATATGGCAGAGATAAATCAACGCGATACTAAAAGCTGCTTATAACTCTAGTCAGCCGTTCCATCACCGATAGCTCAACTTTCTCGATTCTTATGATAAACGAATGTTTGTTTCTCTTGCCCACAGGCACAGTGATCACTTTGACGAAACCTTGTATTATCATTACACATTCATACTACATGTTGAGTAAAGCTATTTCTATTCGATTAATATCAAGGAATATTTCCATAGTATAGTTGTGAACTTATGATACACCAGAAACGACTATTACATCAGTGTTCATCAAGGAGAAATCCGACGAGACACATTTTTAAATGATGAAATTTACTTTTGAGAAATATAACTATTACATCATGAGACTATGCATCAACACAAAATCTTTGTTAAAATTTTCCAACTGACAGAATCCTTGTTTATCCATCGTAAGTAAATGATTATACCATTTAAAATACGTCCGTAGAACATATTTATATAACTTCGAGTGTTCTCTGATATAATGACGCAGTGCCATCGCGAATTGATTATGCTTTCGAGTTTTTGATCGTTAATTATTGCAATAGTCTACAGAGTGCTACTTGCCAAAAGAGGATAACAACTTAAATACTGTGCTATACTTTAAAGACATTTATATATATATATATATATATTTAATAACTTATATCAAGAGATACTTCTAGTTACTAGTACCCAGGTTCAAGTGGATACATCGAAACTGATCGATTCCGTTGAATTTGGATGAGTTCATAACCACAGCATTCCGCTTCGATTTCCGTCGGATAAGTGCCGATCGGTTCCCGTTAGTTCCGGCAGTCGAATCAATTAATCTAGGTATATCTGAAGACAATTCTTTTTATTGTTGAACATGCTTTTGTGAATGAATGAAATCAAGATAAAAAAAGAAAAAAAATTATACCTCTTCGATATTTGACTTTACAGATATATTGCTTGGTATAGAGTCTGATATTCATCAATTTCTTTTACACTTAATTCTGCCATATTTTTTATAAAATGTTTATTTACATGACGCAGGTCGAACGATCCGGCACGGAAACGGCCGGTTCCGCCCGAAAATGGTCAGTTTCCTCCGGGACTTGGTCGAAAATTCATGGAATCCTACTTCAGAAACCATCGTCCTGGAGAACAGCTCTCTATTTTGCTTATCCTTCATAAAAGAGAAAAGAACAAAAAGTATTAAAGTACTACTTCATTTTTCAAATATTTACAGCAAAAACAAAAGCTTTCAGCGCAATCCCTAACGGGATTAAAAATGTAAAACACGATCCAGCCAGACAAACTTTGAACACATAGAATGCTCAATTTATTTCCCAGTCTGCATTCTCATTTATCTAAACTTAAGCTGTTGAAAGCAACATATCATTATCAATAGCGATGTCTGCTGCCTTTTAAGAAATTTTTGCTTCATCGGTCACAATATGTGATCCTTCTTATCGTGCTTCCATTAACCGATCTCGATCTGGAACGCGAACTACACGTGTCGATGTAATGAAGTTGAGAACGAACCTGTCTGTGAGACAATGATACACAGTTCATCTGCCTTTTCCTCTATAAACCTCTATCTCTCCCTCCCCCTCTCTCTCTTTCTTCATTTTTTATGTGTCCACTTTTACAGATATCAATGAATAACGGTATCGGCCTGTCGGTAACAGTCTGTGACATGATCTTTGGGCTTGTTTATAAGGGTATTTGACCGGATTTTGGGCCTGTCTGTGATAGGGTTTTCCCAGCGTCTGTAACGTCTGTGGAGGGGATCCAAATTTCTGCCCCTACACACTTCAACAGTCTCTTTCAGATAGTGTTTCACAAAAAACAGTATCATTTTCTGTCAGTTCTCGTCGAGCTTGACATCTTTTCTATGCTCTGATACGCATACACATATAATTCTCTTTCTCGTAGAGAAGAGTCTTACAAGGATAAATTGTCTACTTGCTTGTTTGTATGTCCGCAGGGTCAAAAAAACATCGAAAATCGATTTTTCGGGAAAGATATTTCCAGAGGTACTTCATTGCGGAGACTTCGAATCTGATGTTCGTTCTTCGAATTTTTTATAAAAAAATTTGTTTCTAAAAATTGACCAAAGGGTTTTTTGAGAGTTACAAAAAAAATTTGAAACAAAGGGTACCCATTCTCGGAAAAAAACATGTATAACCATATGATATCGGATATAGTCAAATGTATAAGTATGGTAAATGAAATATTCTCGTCAGTCTCTTGTGATCTAATAGTTAATTATTGACCTTCATAAACGAACTCTGAAGTAACGTAGCTGTTGTCACATACACTCAATAATGCATTAAAACTATGACATCTGAAATCAAGATTTCTACGACAAAGAGCTGAGCGAGTCTAATGACGAGCGTTACCTGTTGTTATCAGCGGAACCAAATCGTGGAAAATAATTCTAGTAAGAGAGAATATGAATGCGCATCAATTAAGCAATAAAATAGATTTTCAGACAAATTATATGAGCAATATGTATTTCAGTAAAAGAAAACCGATGCTGAATAACTAGAGCCATGTAGTTCCATTCGTTTCATAATTTATTGCAGAAAGCACAGAGTAAAATCCTATGGAACGATACAACATATACCACGCGTATTACATAAAATACTATCCTCCACAGCCAAATAATAAATCGGGTACTATTTTTGCTCTTCGTTGTAAATGCTCGCATATGTATGACATGGTTATTGTATTGTAAGAAACTAATCGGTAGTTATCTGTTAACAGAACTACGAGTGTTTTAAAGTAAGATATTACAGCGTTCTTGTAGATTTGATGATTGTCCTTAAAGCCATCTGTTTATGGGCATATCGAAAAGCGGCTTCGCTTTTCCAATAAGCTAAACGTCTTGTTTTCGAAGTTTTCCCACGTTTTCTTATTTACTAAAAAGCCATGGGGTAATTAATTCATCAAAATGAATTCACAACCAATTGTTAGAGCACCTCAGTGAGGGAGTTGGCATTCTATTTATGTAAAAGATGCTGAGTGTTCTGGCTCACTCTTCAACACAAAAAACAGATATATATGTTAGGAGTGGCAAGTTAACGTCACCCCTGCGGTAAATCGTAGCTCAATTTTATATTTTGTGGCTTCAAAAAGAAATAAAAGATCATGTGACTAGTTTTTCAGGTTGACAAACGATCATTTTTTCTTGTTTCTTTTATCTATCATCGAATAAAACTTAGGAATAACGAAACGAACACACTGAGAGAGCGAGATGCTGCATGAAGCTCTCAGCAAACTATATCGTGAAACTTTTTACAGTCATGTGTTTTTTTTACTGAAAAAAGTCAAATAGTGCAAATCAATCAGTGAAAACTGACTGGTTAGTATTTAGCGTTCTTGAAAACAAAATTTACATAATCAAAATAAATCTCTAATGTAAGCTGTAGAGTTTTTTATCTTCCACTATACTTTTTAGCTAAAAAGATTAATTTAGAGGTGTCCATTTCTTTTGAAGAAAATCGAATCGGCTTGCAAAAGAGTCAAAGGCATAAAAGATTTCCTACTTTTAATTCTTAAAACTTCTATTTTAAATGTCAAAACAGAATTCAATGAGCATGTGTATTCTAACGCCATCTTTCTGCGCGCGTCAACAATTCGTAACTGTTGAAATGATTACACGTCATTTGTTCTCGTCAAAAATATATATAAATACATCACCACCATGAGTTACTATTCATAACGAACAAAGTCAAACAGTTTTCATCGCTTCACGTCTCTACGGTACGGTCTGCTGCACATTTGAAATACGACATGCACACATTTTCCACATTACCCGTCGAACTTGTTTATCGAATTATGGATCATCAAAATGAGCAGACGCTATTTTGTTCAATGCAAAATATTTCCCGACGGCTCAACAAGATCCTGAACACCTATGAGCGATATCGAGTAAGTTCACTTGCCACCTTAACACTCTCGTCGGCTGTGCTACACATAAGCCTAATGATATTTCACGCCGTAAATTTCCTCATGGGAAGAGGTAGAGTAATCTCATAATCCATAAACAATTTGATCGAATAAGACAATCACAGTGCGAATTCATATAAAATCAAGCATTCCTCCACTATCTCGCCTTTCTGATATGTCTGTTGAACTATTGGATCCAGAAGTGCATCAACTATCACTTTTGATGACACTTTTCAAATGCAGCGAACTGACATTGACAATTTCTGGACCTACGCCTATATTCATTCTCATTATCATCCACACCTAATCCAACTCCCACATATCACAAGAGTAGGATGTCAATTTCATTGGAGGGCGCCCTAAAAAGAGATATCTTGGTACAATCACTAACTATTAATAATTATATCTTACTGTTTTCAATCGATCAGCTCACGGTAATCTCCTGTCCATTTTGCCAACACAGCACATCTTCTCTGAACGCAGTCTTTCCTGCGCCACAACTAACATCATCATCCACACAAAAAAACTGATATCTAGATCCAACTCCTCTCTAAAAAATCGTCCCCAAACATGAGTATTTCATATCACTCATATACAATCAGAAATGTAATCAAAGGTTCTCTTTGCTACTTGTCCTTTTCATAATATATTGCTTTCATGTAGACACTCACCGCACTATATCTCGACGCTAACAGAACCGCTGCTGAAGGAGTACAACACCTTGCGGATGTGTTGCGAAAGAACACGGTAATATCGATTTCATTGCACGGAAGTTGAAGCACTCAGTCTCTCTCACACCTACAGACACTCATCATACTAACCCTCCGATATGACGGAATCGATGATAAAGGAGCACAACACCTTGCGGATGCGTTGCGAACGAACACGGTAATGCTGATCGCATTTGACAGAAGGCGAAGTACTTAGTGTCTCTCACACCTACAGACACTCACCATACTAGATCTCGGCAGTAACGGAATCGGTGCTGAAGGAGCAGAACACATTGCGGATGCGTTACGAACGAACGCGGTAATGCTGATCGCATTTGACAGAAGGCGAAGTACTTAGTGTCTCTCACACCTACAGACACTCACCGCACTAGATCTCGGCAATAACGAAATCGATGATAAAGGAGCACAACACATTGCGGATGCGTTGCGAACGAACGCGGTAATATTGACCTGATTTCATGGAAGGTGAAGAACTCAGTCTCTATCACACCTGCAGACACTCACCACACTAAACCTCTATCGGAACAAAATCGGTGCTGAAGGAGCACAACACCTTGCGGATGCGTTGCGAACGAACACGGTAATATCGATCTCATTGCACGGAAGTTGAAGCACTCAGTCTCTCTCACACTTACAGACACTCACCAGACTAACCCTCCGATATGACGGAATCGGTGATAAAGGAGCACAACACCTTGCGGATGCGTTGCGAACGAACACGGTAATATTGATCTCATTTCAGAGAAGATGAAGAACTCAGTCTCTCTCACGCCTGCAGACACTCACCGCACTAAACCTAAATGGTAACAGAATCGGTGATAAAGGAGCAGAACACATCGTGGATGCGTTGCGAACGAACACGGTAATATCGATCTCATTTCGTGGAAGGTGATGTAGTCAGTCTCTCTCACACTTACAGACACTCACCTCACTGGAACTCGGCAATAACGAAATCAGTGCTGAAGGAGCACAACTCATTGCGGACGCCTTGCGGAGAAATGTAGTAAGACTGATGCTTTGCTGGAACAAAATTTGGAATATCTCATTTATCTAATTCTTACAGCGCCAATATGGTGTAGATCTTGCGCTGAATGGAATGGGAAAACAAGTGATAGTTGATCTGATGGCTTTTCTCGTAGAAACGATGTTTTTCGCTTGAGTACTTCGTGGATATCATTCGGTGTGTGATTTGGGTGACATTGAGAGAAAGTAAATGAATTAAAAATGAATTGTGTTGTGAGAAGTTGATGTGACCTGAACGAGAATGCTTTTTGTGGTGGGAAAATATGTGTGTAATAGTGGAAGTGAATGCTTTCGTTAGGAAGGTGTAGCAGAGGAGTGTTTGATGGAAGAGGTGCCATGGTAGGGTGCGTTTATGAGGGGTTCTCTTGGATTGAAATTTGTTTGTGAAAGTGTGTGATTGACAAGATAAGATTACTGCGGACTGCTCGAGTATATTGGAGATATCGCAGAATTGAACCGATAGGAGTACGGCAGGTATGCATTTTACATGTCAGTTCTGGTAAAGGCAAGGTGATCAGACTATGGTATATTGAATGAGAGTGGTGATTCATTAGTGTCGAGCTTTTTTATGTTTGATTCTAGAGCCTAAATGTATTGGGAGCTTGATAATGAAGTGATATGTTTGTTTGTAATTTGTTTTTGGAGAGGATAGTATGTATCCGTTATCTATGAATTCTGTGGTGCATTGGAAAGAAACAATGTAGTATAAAGTGACTAAAATGGCACAGTGAAGAGAGAATGGTCAAAAAGTAGCGCACCAAAACGCGCTGTTAGACTAATCATTTCCCTCGATCAGCGTAGTCCGAGAAGAAGCTATTTTGTCGATTATGATCAGCTCCATTCACTCTCAGTGTTGATCCACAGGAAAATATCAGGGAAGTATTTGTTGTAACATTTTATCGAGGAAAAAGCAGTGGAGCATACTCTCGAACTTGTTTGTATATTACTCTGATAACAGGGTTTTTCGTTTATGGCTTGCTTACATGTAAAATTTATACACTGCTTGAAACGATAGCAAATTGGAGGCCGTAAGAAAAGCGGAGGATAACCAGCTTGACAAATTTTCTCAATCAGATTCGGACTGGTACATTTGGTGTCTAATGATAGGCAGCTATTGTACCCTTGCTCTAAGATCTATTTTTCGAATGATGACAAAACTGAAATCAGTTAGCTATGCATTATTCAACATCATAGCCTGTGCGCTGAGATATGATATATTCGTAGCATCCCTTAACATTACACTGTAAGAGAACGTAGATTTCGTTTGATTTGAGTACCTGTCTTTGAGTTCTCTGCACGTATCGGTGATTGAAACCTCGCACGAAATGATGATCATTGAAGAGAAGTGGATTTTGGCTATCAGAAGTCACTCCAAACTGATCTTGTGTCTGTAGTGTTGCTAGGTTTTGAGATGTATCTGAAATGGTATGTATATACACCGCCTTTTTGCAAAAGATTAACAGTACTTAGTCAAAGTACACTCATATAAATCGAATGGACTGAAAGTATGCAAAGTGTCATCATTTAAGTACAAATAATTTTACTCTTAATCAAGATATTTGTACACATTTAGTCTCCGTTCGTTTATCAATACGGCATCCTCGACGAATACAACCGTTTAGTAATAGTCTGTACGTGACGTAGATAAAAAGTAGATTTTGCAACAACCAGTGCTGGTATCCGCGAAGTCCGATATAATGCTATCGACAGAATTTGTATATACGGATATATAAAACAGTCAAAGAAACAAGATATGTGCATTTTGTTTTCAGTAAATAAAATCACGCCATGCAACATTGAAACTTTTTAGCTGAGTATACAGTCACTTTTTATTGTCATTGTTAAAATGAGGTAAATATGCTTAGATTAATTATGTTCTTTACTTTTCAGTAGTTCCAGAAGCGTCTCTTAACACACGAAAAAATACCCTCCCACGTTTGTTCCGAATAGAGCGTTCACGCTCCAGAGCATCATCTTCTGACGGTAAATCTTGTTGTATTTTCAGTTTGGATCTAATATTTCCAACAAAAGCGAAGACCCAGTTCAGGATAACGAATACATGCACAGTGAAACTTATTTCAATATACATATGTAATTTATAAGTAATGCCCGCCCATTGAACTCTCTGATCTGATACTAAAATGGTAGAACTATATCTTTCAGCATACTTGAAACACCATAGAGGCTTGTTTTACTTCATAAACGAAACCAATTGTCTCTTTGTAAAAAGCTGTTGTTGTCTAGCCTATTATAATGATCTATCCACAATATCCGTCGTTTTTCTATTCCTACTCGAATTCAATGAATATGTTTAGCTTTATACCATGTTTAACACCAATGACATCCTACTGTACGTCACATGATGTTCGTTTTTTCAGCATAGAATTGGGCAAGGAGTTTACGCATACTTATAATGGATCGAAAAGATTTCATTTCAAATAGACTATATATCGAATAAGATTGTAAAAAAGGGTGCACCAGAAGAAATCGACGTCGAGTTTGCGGTTCTCAACCTTAATTACGCTTTACGGGATGGTTGCTTAGAGTGAGTACATTCAATCGGATTCGATGGGAATTCTGCATGATCTGATAGCCGGATTACTCGTTTCAGTGGCCCAACCAGGGGAGGGACAAATGAGCAATTATCCATTCCATTTTGAGTTTTGCCCACTCAAATTTTACTTCTTAAAATTGATATATTGATCTATGAGTTAGATAGCAGCTATATATTTTTCGTCTTGATTTTGATATTCGATTTTCTCTTTCTCGTAGAGAAGAGTCTTAGAGACATAAATTGTTTGCTTGTATGTCCGCAGGGCCAAAGAAACATCGAACATCGATTTTTCCGAAAAGACATTTCCAGAGGTATTTCGGTGCGGAGACTTCGAATCTGATGTTAGTTTTTTCAAAATTAAAAAAAATTGTTCAAATCAAGGATACCGATTTTCAGAAAAACATTTATAACTTGTTTACAAGTTCGACCCTCTCCTGCTCAAGATGATGAACTTGACAAAAAGACAAAACGAGAATGTACCGCTTCCGCTTTTTGAACGTATATAAATCGATATGCTGTTAAGAGTTTAGTGTTATTACAAGCATATAAAATGTATATTCATTTTTCAAATTGTCTTAAAATAATTATTCGTATATGTTCATTTTTTTACCTCTTTCTTTACATTTATCTTAATTATTGTAGTAATCGTTTCTTTTCTCTCATTGTAGCAGATATTTCCTATCGTGTTTTCTTATTTTCTTTTTTCATATAATAACTCATAATCTACTTAATTGTATTGATACCTATTTAGAATATCTGGTTCTCAATTTGATATTTGGTATAAATATCTAATACTGCTTTTGTGAAAATATCTAATCTATACTAAAAATAAATTAATATACACAATAATAGTTTTAAAGTGTAATCTCTGAAGGCACGATTTCTACGAGAAAGAGCTGAGCGAGTCGCTAGACGAGCGTTACTTGTATTTATATTCCAAAGGAAAGAGAGGCAGAGACATAGAGAAATGAACACTAACTGTCGTCAACATTTCCGTTCATAAATTGGTGTCTTCTATAAAAATCTATTGAGATACGTCAGGTAACATGTAAATAGGTTTTACTTTTGTTTCCACTACATGATAAAAAAATACCATATCAAAGCATTTTCCAAGGTGTAATCGGTGTTTACTAAATCAGTAGACTACCATACAGTCAAAGATTCCACCTTTCCGTCTACGTGAATGATCGTCATATCATTCAATGCTTTATGGCTTCCGTGTAGTTCTGTTTCTTTTCGTGATCGATCATAAAGTCATAAAAAATTTAATCGCGTTGATCAGACTTTACATCGAATGCTTTACTAATGGTTGGTCATCATTGTTTTCGGAAAATGTTCTTTCAATGCAACGACTTCATCTACTGACCAATTATACTTCGCTGAATTGGAAGAATGCCGTATTTCGAATGCTCACCATAAACACTCTTTAACAGTATATCTTATCTTCTTCATATCTACTTTCAGAAGCCAGAATCTTTTTGATTTTTAAAAGAATTTGTCTGTCAAAGCATTGGCTGTATTTTTCGACTGTTTTCAGTATTGTTGAATTGGAGAGTAGAATCCAAGTGTTTGACTATTCCAGTGAAATATGGGAATACATGCATTTAACAAACGGAGTTGACTACGTTTGCCTGGCATGATATTGTCGACTGGCACAGTGTATTTCTTCTTCAAATAGCCATTCAGTATTTGATTGTTTAGCTTTGTTTGATAGTGCATTGATCAAAGATCTTTCTGAGTTATCATATTCTTCTTGTGCTTTCACTTCTTTATGGTCATTAAATAGATTGTGTAAAAGATGCTATAAAAACAATTCCTCTTCTTTTTTGTTCATTAAGCGCCGACAATAAATACATTCCTGACCCTAAATAAATAATGAAATGAATAAAACAAATATCTTATTTAAAAAAGCAGCGAACCTCATCAAGTCAAGATCTTTTTTTGCATGTCATCATCTTCTCATACCTTCCTGTTAGTATAATACGATATCTACATCTATCGAAACTATTAGGATCAAAGTTTTCATTCTACTTTCTTTTCTACTAAGAAAAACCACACTCACCGATTGGCTCTTTGTCGTTTTTTTAAAGTTTGCAAATGCAGTTATACTCGATAATTATCAAACTGAAAAGCCCATTTCATATTTACATCTCACAAAGAGTGCCTGAAGAAAGAGTTCCAGAGAGTGCTATTGCGTCTACCGATGTATATCTGAAGAGAGAAAATCATATTTATCTTGAAAAGCTCAAAATAAAGTATTTAGTGTGTATCGTCCTTTGTTGACATAAAACAGGGACTATATCGATTCGATTAGATTTGATTATAGTTTTCATTATACTTTCGCCATTATTGGGCTTTAACTGTTGCACACGAAACTAGTATATATTCTGATATGATGGTGATTTTTATTCCTTAGAGTTACTGCCTATGATGTTGCCGTTTACCATATACTAAAAATAATGTTTCTGATAAAGACGGGTCGATTCGCTGATAAAAAGTTCGAAAATAAACGACTTGCGCCTATTTATGGTTACTGAAGTGATCATCTTGTTCCAGTTGACGACGCATTAAAACCTATCTCACCGAAAATTCCAAATGTGGACTGTTACGTAAAAGTGGATGAAGATACTTTTTATCCTGTGTTAAAAAAAACATTGCGAAATGAAGATCTGTCAACATCGATCCTCTGATTTTCGTTTTTGAAATTATTTGGTACAACACTTAGAAAATTACCAAGTTTTTAAAAATTTACTTGGCGTGGAGTGACTGTTAATACTAGTGATCAATTTAAAGATAATCAAGGAACTACACAGTGGAATGTGAATTCTTGTCTAGCATCTCTCCATGCTGTTAAATTTTTTGATCGAGGCTAAGAATGAAAAAGATGTTTCAGATTATACTAATTATCCAAGCGAACATGAGGTTTTGTTCGGCCCCAGGCACTCAGTTTCGCGTGGTAGGCAGTGACTTCGATCAAATTGGCGGACTGCATGTTGTGCATTTAGAAGAAATCACAAAAGATAATATAGGTAAATAATCCTAGCGCATGGTTTCATTTGACGTTTAACGTCCTTCTTGTTATTTTCCCTTCAGAAATGGCTTAGGCTAAACTGTTATCAGTTGGCGATGTCGAGTTACCTAAAACAAGACGAAACACAATATGTGGCATGCCTATGATTATTTAAATGAAGCAGTTACGACGGAATGATAAAAGATTGTAAAAAAAACACGGCTATGGAATATGTTATTTCTTAAATGGAGACAGATATACGGGAGACTGGAATAATAACATAGGAAATGGTCGTGAAGTTTATTCTCGACTGAATGAAGATATCTATGAAGGTGAACATAAAAATAATGCTTTCCATGATCAAGGTAAACATGCATTTGCCAATGGACAAATGCGAAAAAGCTCTTGGAAGGATAATATGCATATTGACAAGAATTCTCCTCACATCTGTAGAACAATTGTTCTAATCAAATAAACTATAGTTTCATTAAAATTGTATACGTATCGCTATGCGCAAAATCTTTTACCGAATATATTCTACTAGTTTATCATTTATTATCATAAATTCACTAAAGAGAACAAATATACAAACAACTAACTAATCACGATAATATATATATATGCACACACTACACACAAATATCTAAATGAGTCATGATGATCGAGTATTTTGTTCAACGAGCAGCAACAAGACCAACAAATTTACCATCGTCGCCATCGATGTTGTAATTTGGAACAGCCCATTGAATGATTGTGATTATATGAAATCCAGCCGATCGCAATTCATCTGCTAAGACATCGATACCTGTTGGTGAAACAAATAAACGACAAATATTATCCGTATTGTCGCGAACAAGAGCACCAGCTGCCGTTTCTTCGACTAAGGTACCACGTTTATGTAATGCATCACCTCTCATCTTGAATGAGACAGCAACAATACCACCAGCAATCAGTGCTTTGTATGCTTTTCGATAGACATCTTCACGTTCTTGTGGTGTAAGAAAATGGAGAACAGAATTGGCATATATACCATGGATAGAATCAGCTTCGAGCTTGTTCATGAATGTGAACAAGTCATTGCATTCAATACTAAGTCGAGATTGAACACCAGCATCTAGTGCAACCGATCGTTGACGAGCTGATTCAACTGCCGTTTCACTATATTCGACAGCAGTCACATGTTCAATGATGATATCTTCCTTGGCCATGCGAAAGGCATGATCATACGAACCAGCACCGAGTTCGACAACACGACAACCATCTGTTGGTAATTGTTCAATAAAAGTGTCCAAGAAAGGCGTTTTGCTTTCACCAGGCGTTCGATGACTGAAACCTTTGTATATGTTTTCCTTCCAAACTTTATCGAACAATTGCGCTGGAGTTGTTTCCTGTATAAAATTATAAGGGAATGTCAAAAGAACCGTTCAATAACAAGTTTGCTAAACGATTAAGCAAACTAGTGGAGAATATATGAAACAAAAGAGTATGGCATAGTCTACTCAAACCATCAGAGGTATGTAAGACGTATATAGAAACGATGTTATTTTCTCTTTCGACTTAACAAATGTAAGACGTGGCAATAGTGTTTCATCATATACTATTAAAGTAGCTATATCATAATCGCGATTTCTCTTCGAATGTGTCCCAGTATATGCTATATTAAACAAAAAATTGAGACGTCTATCAGAAATACGAATATAAGACGATAATACTTCTTCCTGGCTACCACTACGAATAAAGTAGATGATCAACAGAAGTGAGCATTTATATGTACTGGAAAGATAAATGAAAGAAAGCAAGTAGAAACATATGATTATGTTTGAATAGAACAGAAAAGTCGAGTCTACACCACTTACATCTGTTACACACGAATTGTTTGAAACCAAGCCTTTAGTCGTATTGCCATGTTGATCAAATTTATCATTCAAACCAAGCGATTGTGCCTTTTTAATATTTTGTGTCATCTTGATTGAAATTAACTATTATGATAGTAGATAAATTCCTTGAAATAGAAGAAAAAATATATTCGATTAATAACTTGTTCTTGATGCATCTCCAACACCGAATATAAAACATAATGTCCAAAAGTTCTGTTACACTCACCTTATCTGTCTTATTCAACGTTGTAGTTTGATAAAAAGAAAAAATATACGAATGAAAATTACTTACAGACACTCCTCTATTTATACCCCCAACGAATGATACGGTGACCGCATTTGAACTCGGAGCGAGAATATTCTTTTCCAATGTCCTTATTGACCCTTTTTTGTTGTAGTGCTCAAATCTTGGTACGAACAGCAACGTGAACGCGTTATTGGTTCAATCTCTTGACGATGAATGAATATAAGGAAAAAGAATGGATACTCTCTCTCGTCAGACCTCTCAATGACCTCACACGCTCATTTTCCACTTTTTCGCAGGTATCTTTGATTTCTCTTTGTCTTTGCTTAAAAATTATTCAAATCAAACATGTTTTTATTATGTTGCAGAAACTTCCAACATATTTCGTATACTTTAATTTTGTCAAATTCTGACATAGCATCAATTATTTGCTGAATTTTACTGGAAATATTTTGGAAAGCGAGTAATTATTCTTTATAGTGCTGGTACTCGTATCGTTTCTTTGGCCTTTTTTTAAGAGAAGGAGTATCATAGACTCCTAAGTTTGAAAATTTATAATAATACACGAGCATGTTTCAAAGTATGAATGCTAACATAAGATGAAAACGTGATAATCAAGTGTTTATTTGTCTAAATGTAGCGATTACAAAAAGTTTCCTATTTTCTTTACGCAACAATTACGTGTAATAGCGTCTATTTTCCAAATGTTGTAGTTGATCTCTTAATGATTTAATTGCAATAGCGTCGCATCAGTGGATCGATACTCTGTTCGTCGAATCTTCTTTTGTATGGAACGAAGGTTGTTTGAGGAAAAAATCACTCTGAATATGATGCTCTACTAATGAAGTGACAGTTCGCTCGTCTTTGTTAACAGGAATTACGGTGATATTCGAAGTTGCATGTTCCATTCTAGATAGAAGACACATTTATCTACTCTTTCTCGTGTTATGGGTAGTGAACCGAAAATAAATCGTTAGAAGAAAACCGTTCATACTACTCAGTCTTTTTAAAAAAAGAGCTTCAATGAAATTCAGTAGTCTTGCAAGCTACGTGACGTGAGATACTGATAAAAGTTATAATTTATTAACCTTTTATCGCAATGGCATGAACGACTTTTCAAGGAGACCACGTGCATTTGAATTCATTGTCCATAAACAAAATAGGATGCGATTAAAACGCCGGACAGAGATAGATGATAAATATAATTCATCATGGTTATGATTTTATCAAAGGAAAAAGATTGAAAATCACGGAGTATAAATTTGTATCAAATTTCAACTCACACAAGCTGATCTAATATGAACAATTCCCTATTGTTCCTATTGATAGTTTTTGTTTCTTTATCTGAACATCTCTCAGTTCTCCCATCTTTTTATTTATTTAGAAAGTATCTTCGTTTATGGTTCAGCTGCGAATCGTGCACCAAAGACAACACTGCTTATTTTGCCGATAACATTATAAATTATTTGTTCTCTGTATTTCTTACATCCATTTCATTATTTAAGCTTGAGTGAGATCACTATTTTGTGAGACATTAGTGCCAGTCTGCGTATCATTGAATAATCTAACGTATTAAATCAATTCTCAAAACTGATTTGATCTGAACTCGATCGTTATTATTCTAGCCATTGTGAACCAATTCAAATTGCACTGCAGAAGAATAACTTCAACCACCAATGAAAGCGTGCATTAGGTACGCGATGAACAAAGATTGGCGATGATTCATTCGCCTAGCAAAGAAAACAAGCAGACAGAAGAACAAGAAATATCGAATGAATTAGTTTCTAAGTCTCCCGTGTATCAAAAATGCAATCTTTGTTGTGTTTCTACATAGGAATGAGCATCGTACTCGCGAAAAAAAGAGATGATCTGCATAGAACATCATACTTTTCTATTTCGTTCACAAGGTCAATCGAATTTCCTTCATTTCACCTTCAATGATTCGTCTAGGTTTTCTCCGTTTCAAACTGAAATCATTCTTTTTTTCTTATATACACATCTATGCGCACATTCTAAGGTCAACCCACGCTGACGCTGAAAACAAGTTGATTCTTCTTCTTCTTCTGCTTCTCTTTCGACTTATTTTTCTTCGCGAGAAAGAGAAAAGAAAAAGAAAACATTGAACACTACAGCTAGCGCACGCAATTGTCGTCATTCGTCTCTCGACTGTTTTCCCTTCTCATATTCCTTTCTATCTGCTTATTTTGCCTTCATCTTTTTCTTTTTTTCCCGTTATTCGGTTGTCAGTCATATGTGCGATATTGCCTGCTAAAGAAAGTATTCATAAATGCTAAAATACCATCGCTACTCTCATTAAACTAGTGGATGAAGTCAACTGTGAACGTTTCCTTTACACTGCGAGTAATAAAGTATGAGCATTTTTATTTGCTTTGCTTGATTCTATTTTCGTTAGACCAATCAGGATAATTAGTTTTTCTCCGCTTTTGATCTTTCATTTTGATGAAAAAACAAATAGAACTAATGTCGATGTTTACAACGACGAAACATGTGTTTTTCTCTTTTTATATTTAAGATCATTTAAGAAGAAAAAACAATGTCTACAACAGTAGATCCATTGTTTGGTCTTATTCAAGTATCGACATCCATTAAAATAAAACGATCCGATGGTCGAGTACATTTAGCGAAAGTTGTTCAACTATCACCAGAGTCGAAATCAGTCGGTGTCGAATGGAATGAGAATGGCGAAGTGAAAGGCAAAGAAATTCTACTCGATCTTGTCTTCGAGCTTAATAGTGAGTTACGACCAAATGCGGTTTTTAAACAACCAGCACCAGTTACAAATCAACAAGTTCGACCAACGGCAGCCGTTGCAACACTTCCTTCTAGTGGCTTATCATCTAGTCGACTAACATTAGACATCGATACACTAGAACGTGAATATAATTCACGCCCACCACCGACGCTTCCGCCACAATTGATGCAAAAAATCCAACAACATCCAGTGTCTATTCAAACAACTTCCACACCACTTCCTCCACCACCACTTAACGGGTACGTTTATATCGATCCTATCGTGTATTGCCATTTACCTGAATTTGTTACTGTTTCAGAACTGTTACATCCACTTCGCATCATCCAAAAACAAGCTATATACCATCCGGAACAAATAATTCATCAGCCGTTCGTTCGATTCGTCGTCCTGCTGCTCCTCAATCAACAGCACCGTCGATATCGAAAATAGCAACACCTTCCTCTCCCATTCCACCTCCAACTCCCACTGTTGAACAACAACCACCTCAGCCACAACTACAGATTCCACCACCAGCAAATAACAAAACTGAACGTCGTCTTTCTCGTCTTCATGTTGTACAACAATCATCGTCAACAAACACAAACAGCAATGTTGCACCACCTGCGCCTGAACCACCTTCATCCATTGGTCTACACGGTCCGTTTGGACAGATGATTCTTGATTATCGTTCCACATTAACTTATTGTCCTACAACAAATGCAAATATAAATCAACAACAAATCAATCAAAAAGATCTACGTATTTGCGTTGCTGTTCGAAAACGTCCATTGAATAAACGTGAAATTGCGAAAAAAGATAACGATGTGATTACCATTCCAAATAAAGATCATTGTCTCGTTCATGTACCAAAATTAAAAGTTGATTTAACTAAATATTTAGACAATCAAACATTCAAGTAAGAAATTCTTTATTCTTAAGCAATGCAATTCGGTAATTCCTTCGATTTTAGATTTGATTATACTTTCGATGAAAAAGCTTCCAATGAATTAGTTTATCGTTGTACAGCGGCACCATTAATCGATACAGTATTTAATGGTGGAAATGCAACTGTCTTTGCTTATGGTCAAACAGGATCTGGTTTGTCGATTCAATTCGTCACAAAACATTTGTTAACTATCGTTTTTTTTTTTAATTTAGGCAAAACATTCACAATGGGCGGTGATTTACAATCAGCTAAGACGGATTATTCACATGGTGTTTATGCTCAAACAGCACGTGATATATTTCATCGTCTATCGTTACCACAATATCGAACATCCGTGGAAACTTTTGTTACGTTCTATGAAATTTATTGTGGCAAAGTGTTTGATTTACTCAATAACAAGAAACGTCTCCGTGTCCTAGAAGATCAAAAAGGTCTTGTTCAAGTATGTGATCGAAAAGAGCAACAAGTCAAATCTGTTCAAGATGTATTAAACATTATTCAACGTAAGTGAAATCATTTTTCTGCCAAACGCTTGATTCGAATGCATATTGTTCAGATGGTATGAGTATTCGAACATCGGGTACAACAGCTGCCAACGCTAATTCTTCTCGCTCACATGCGGTTCTTCAAATTATTCTTAAAACAGCATCAACAGCTTCGGTTACTTCAAGTGTATCAGGATCGTCACGAAATAACAATCATAATAATCCAGCTGTATTACGTCGTCCAATGAAAGAAGTGGGTAAAATGTGATTGATGGGTTTGG